CGCTTTTATGATGACTGCAAGTCTACCTAGCTACTTAAAAGATTGCCAATCCTCCCCTAAGTAGGCTAAAAAAACTTTCTATCACCTATCTCCCTACAATACCACTGAACTCACTCTCCAACCTGCATTCACTCTGGCTTGGCCTTCACAGAATATCACTCGCAGTTCATTCGAATGCAAGCTGCAAGACAGGATCTTAGAGACCTTCAAGACGACCTGGCGTTTCAAGCGCAAAATATCACACTATTAGTCTATTTACCAAGCAACACTAGGTTGGAGAAGAGGTGGGTCAGATGTTCGGTCAAATTAACAAATATCGGTAGTGTAGATATCGCAGCTGCTACAAAAAGACTGGGGTATAATATCCGGTGGTGTTTCAGGAGGGAGCAATATCTTGGATATGAAGACATACCCGAAGACATCGATAGCTGACGGGTAAACACATTCAAACAGCTCAACGTACCAGTCCTTTTACACAGCGAGGGTGACGAGAGGATAATTCACACACTTCGTACGATAGGAATGTCGGGTTATGAACGGGGAAACTAGTGCAACAACTGGGTCTGGTTTCGTCAAAAGCCAGCTGACTTTCATGGATCGATTAGTTAACACTTTGGGTTACGAGGACTTGGATTAGTCAAGAAGGTTACATTAAGTTCTATCGGATTCTGTCGTTCGCAAGGGTATGAGTCACTTTGGATTTGTCATCGCTGAGATTTTCTTGAGTATATTAGGAGGTTTTGTCCTCGCTTCTGTTTTCTTGCTCTTATTTCTTTTGATATGCAATGTCTTCTATACTTACACTGTCTATTACTATATGATAATATTTTCTCTTCTTTACTCAAGAAGACCACCGTGCTGCTGCTTCCCTTTTCCTGTTGACCCTTACCAACTCTAGAGTCCCTCAGGAGTCCTATCACAGGCTCTTCTACCGATCTCTACTAATTTCTTTGTACCCTGTAGAATACTCGCTACTTGAACTCTCGAGACTGACCTGGAGGCTTTGCAGGATTTATGTCCAGCAAGCCTGCTTGCACTCTGTAATCTCAGTGACCCAAGGCGAAGGAGGACTAGAACTCTGGCAGCAATACAACCATTGAAGCCGGACTTCAATGGAAACCCCAGTGTCAACCACAGGCTAATAAGAGTATCATGCTGCTGAAGCTCTCCTGACGATATATGGGTAGTAAAAATATAAACCATTTTGGGTGCCGCTCATTTGGTGCCTGAGAGGACATCATCTGTGAACAATAGATGGTTTATCAATAGTACGATCAATCTATCGATATACGGATCAATTTACTGAAGTAATATGGGATGTTGGACTGAGTTTTTTATAATGATACTAACGACATGAACAACAGACAAGAGACTTTAGATAGGTAGACTTATGACGATAGGTTTTGGGCAGGGGGAATTACGACGAACGGGGAAGATGAACGGGGAAGACAAACGGGAATTAGATGGGTGTCCTTAGACATGTTGAACAGTGGATATTCGACGCACTAGATTGTATTATATATATTAGGCGGAAGGTATTAGACCGGCCCGGTAGTCATTAGAGTTTGTATTTTAGACGAAGTAATTATTGGACTTGGATTTTGGATAGAAAAATTGTAGTAGTATGATGAGTTATTAGAAAGAGAATTATGTCCGAGTCAAATGAGGAGGATTTCCCAATTGAGCTATCTTCATCTTTTGACGGGTAGTGAAGACAGGGATATTTGGAATAAAACGAGCGTAAGCTAGATTGATTCAAAATGCGAACTAATGAGGTCGCACGATCGGTTTCATAATTGGAGCTCCAAATGGACAATGTTTATGGTCAAATGATGACTGGCCAAAAATAGGGAGATATACGATGAGATCCCAGAGCCAAAAGACAAGGTTTTGAGAGCAAAAGACGAATTTGGGCATCTGGGTGCTGGAATTCGTCTTGGGGAAACCCACTTTTTGCTGATGATACTTAAGTAAGTATTGCAAGTACACTGGTCATGCTTGGAAGGTATCAAGCTACACATTCCCGATTTTGCCTCATGTTTCAAAGCAAGGAATAAACAGAGAGCGGGCGGAAATACCCTCGCTTATCCAGTGCAGTGGATTGCAAGCCTAAAAAATACAAACAACATTGATACCCCCAAGTTGAACGGCAGCTCATTGTAAGCAGGAGAATACAAATGCCAGGGGGTGCATAGATGCAGCAGCTTTTGCTGCTCTTGGACGGACCTATTACTCCTGCAATTAGTATGTATTTCTTTTTAAATATTTAGTAATAGTGATGGAAATACTGGCACTAAGTCCTGCTCCTGATTTTGCCTTGCCTGATACCGAACCCTACGTTGCTCACGTGCATGTATCTGGCAGGAGAGTTCGAATATTTTACAACATCCATACACCAGGAATACGCCAACAATATAGCTTATCAAATATTGCTGACAGTTTTTTGTGGTGCATTATGACGACTGAGGGTGTATTCTGCTATAAGTTTGTCCTGTTTGCAGTTGACACATTTAATTGTGGACATTTTGGGGAGAAAAATAAATTTAGAATTTTTGGTGATCTGAAATTGGGTTAATTGGGTTAATTGTGGTGAAAGTGGGGTAGCCTCTGGTGTTCTGTTGTCATGAACCGGCATTTTCGGAGTAACCCTGCCTTGTCACCCGCCCTTTTTACCTCACCCGTCCCAATTTTTGGGGTGTCATGCCGGTTGCTATGGAGTTCGCGCTCCCCTGTCGCTCTCGACCAACCAAAGCCCCAAGAGTTCAGAAAACGAAAGACAGTACCGGGTGTTGAGGGTAAATACGAAGAATCTGATAAGAGAATCTTGCTGTGAAATAGGTGTGTTTATCTTATCAGATTCTCGGTATTTATGGTTAACCCTCGGTACATATTAGACTTGAGCATCAATACTTGTTTGGTCTCGGGCAGGTGTAAACTTACTGCAATAAAAGAAATCCTGTCTCCAGAAATATAGGCAACAGCTTTAGCGGTACCAAATCTCTATTTTATCAGAGACAAGAGCGAAGACCCTTGAGATTCCTATACCGCAGTGATAGGAATCAGAGCCGAGAGTTCCACCAGTTGATAATAACAGCGGAGTGATTTTAGCGGGCACTCTTGCCTCCCTGCCTGAGAGTAGGCCAAAGTCGTTCCTTTTCTGTTATTGACAGTAGCGGAAAGTCTCCCAGCAATCCGCACTCCAAAAGCCCAAGAAGAAAAGTGTCTTGGCGGAAATCTCGGGGGAAATCTCGGCAAAGTAGGAGAACCAGTAAGATGAGACCTGTTGGGGAGAACTGCAATCGTTTCGGGAAACGAAACAACGTCGGCGAAACATTTGTATTGAGAGTAGCTACCTAATTTTTAGTTAGTGGTAATGCAATAGATTTCAAGTAGGGTGTACTGACAACTGTAGTAAAAGTTTTGCGAAACGAAACAAACACTTGGATGGATGACTGATGGATGATGCAGGAGTGGATGAGTGATGGTTGGTGGAGGAGTGGATGAGTGATAGTTGATGGAGGAGTGGATGAGTGATGGTTCGTGGAGGAGTGTTGGAGGACGACCCTCACAGCTACAATACATGTACTTCAGTGGTGGCGAGTAATAAGTCACTAAACTACTTTAATACAAGCGGCTACCACTTTAGTTCCCCGAGTAACAATTCAAATCTGAGGGTGGGGGGCACCCCACCCATCAGATTAGCGATCTGAAAGGTCGCAACCATTTTTTCATTCCGGTCTGAACACATCAAATCAGCCATCTGAACGCTTCAGACCTTCCGGGAACGCATCCACTATACAGATACTAGTCAATCACGGTGGGTCGGTACGTACCTACCAGTTGCGGCCTGTTTCCTTTCAGGTATTTCGCCACACCCGTCCTCCCAACGCTTGGAACGGTGATAGGCAAAACCAAGTTAGCATTAATTTATCCGAAAATAAGTCTGGAACTGGACCATAAGCTTCAACACCCTTCTCACAAGGATCGGAGGTATCAAAATGGTGATATATGGCCCGTAGTGATGAGCACGAGACAACTTGTCTCGAGACTTTTTAGCAAGACGACACAAGACTAGATCCGGAAGTCTCGAAATAAGTCACGAGACTTTTTTTGAATTTTTTTCCTCACCTAACTAAATTCTCAAGCCCCAGCTCAAAATGGGATGAAGAAAACAAAGAAACCCTTGGCCTTTATTTGCATTAATTAGCATAATTGCAGTGCTTTCCCGGCCCCGTGTTCACATGAAACAAAGTGTCGAGACTTTCCAAACTCAGTGGAAAGGATACAAGGCGAGACGAGACTTGGGGAAGTCTCGCCTCGTCTCGTCTCGTGCCCATCACTATATATGGGTGATTTCGGTTACATGGGTCGCGGAATTGGTCCCCCACCTTTAGCCTAGACGCACCACCATAGACTTCTTCTTCTTCTAGATCTCCTTCTTCAATCATGTAATCTATGACCGACGCGTTGCTATGGTTACGCGAACCACAGAATATCACTCGGTCCCTGACACCGCTTCTACGTACATCTTCTCACAGTATGTTAATTCAGCGCGATCCTTCTGTCCTGGCCTTCCGCAATATATAGAACTCGCACCCCCACCAAAGTAACACCGCTCTATCTCCACTCATAATAATAATCCACAATTCTCTGCCAGAGACCGCGATATGGCGAGACATTCCCCCCGATCGAACTCGATCCTTCTCGCTGCCACCCCGCGAAGAGCAGCTGCCCGAGCGCCGCGTCGAGCCCATCCTGTAGGTAGGGTAGGAACGGGTACATCGTCCACAGATCCGCCACCCGTATGGGACAGTTGTGGCCGTGTTACGAACCCAGCGGAGGTTTTGGGGTGCGTTTGGGAGGACCAGACCTCGCTTTTCCAGCTGGTTGGCCTTTGGCGTGGAGATCAGGCATCACCCTGGTTGGTAAGGTGGAGGAGGGAGGAGAAGACCACCCTACAGCCAGTAGGGACCTGGTGGAAGGGGTAGGTCGGCCTGTGCCTAGATGGTGAGGGAGAGCGTGTGGCGCTTGCGCAGGGTTGCTATTGATGCGGAAAGAGACTCCTGTTTATGGGCACGGGGAGCATGTCAGTGATCGGGGGGATCTTTGGCTAGTCCTGTCGGGAAGGATATAGTATAGATACATGTATATATAGGGAATTATATAGGGAGACGTACATAATCGCCATCCAACACCAGCATCTTCAGCTGATCCTCAATATTCGGACACCCCTCCGCCATCCCGCACACCTCCTCTACCATCAAGCCTTGCATGCGCACCAAGAGCAGCCTTCTCAGCGTCTCCCCATGCCCCGCCAGAACGCGCACATAAAAAACCTCCATCTCGCAGCAGAGCTCCTCCAGCCCTTTATACGATGCCACGAACATGTCCGCCGGCCCATCAACATACAGACACCTCAGCGCTGCATTGCCCACCAGCTCCCTCTGCCGCGCTTCCGGTCCGCTATCCCGCCTCGGATCCGGAAACGGCGGCCACAGCTTCGGGGCGCGCAAAGTCCGCAGGTCCAGCAGCAACCCCCGCGAGAGGTCTAGCACTTTACTGAGCGCTGCCGCAATTGGCTGCGTGAGCGCCGGGATGTCGAGTGCGAGCTGCTCCAGTGCCAGTACAGTGATCTGTGCGGTAGCGCGGTGAATATGTCGACTAGGAGCAGCTGGTCGGGCCTGTCGACTGCGGTGAGGCAGAGGGCGAGGCTTTTGAGGGTTGTTGCGGAGGCGGTGAGGAGCGCGGTGAGAGATGCAACCTGCGTGGGCTTCTTATCTATCCAGCAGACGTCGAGGGATCTTAGTGCCGGCATGGGCCCGGGGAGGAAGACGTCGACGTTGCTGGTTTTCAGGTGGTGCAGCTTGGACATGGTGCGGATGGCGGCGGAGATGGCGGGCCGGATGTTGTCATTGTATTCGTATCCTGATCGCGATCGATCAGTGTCAATTCCCTTCTCTACCACGCCGGGAAATGCATCACAAATGTATCGCGAAATGTATGATAAAATGTATCCCCAGTACCAAACACTACGGCTGTGTGGTGTGTGTAGATATGCATCGGCGAATGAATCCTAAATGCATCGGCGAATGAATCATATATGCATCGGCGAATGCATCATAAATGAATCGGCGAATGCATTCCAGTCCCATTAGACGCCTTTCCGACGAATTTCCGACGACTTTACTGACTATGTAGGACAGCATCGCCAATTGTCCAGCGAATGCATCAGTAAAAGTATCAGTAAAAGCATCAGCAAAGGGACCAGTAAATGCATACACAGATGTTCCAGGAATAAAAAAACGATTTGTGTAGGGGAATTGAATATGTGTCGCTCCGCTTGGAAATCCCAGATCTTACCAGCTAGACCATCAGTTGATATACTAATGTTATGATTATCAATTCTATCTAGCGAGTGTTTGGCTGTTTTAAAGGTAGGACTTAGATAAGTTCGAAATCGGGAGGGATGCTGAATACTGCGGCTCGTAATAAAGGAGGGCCCTAATCATTTTCTATAACGACTTTCTTCATCACTTTCCATAGTAATTTCCCGACGATTTTCCCTGCCCCTAGGTGCGGCGGACTTATCTACCGTCGATCCCATGGCCATCTCTGGTAATAGAAGTGAACGTCATTGGTAAAATCGTTGGTAAAGTCATCGGTAAAGTCGTAAAAATAGTCGTTCCCAGGTACATTAGCGGTTTTTCCTACGATGTTCCCTACACCTTTCACTCCTCATATCATCTGGTTTTCTGGAGACGACTATGTCTACGACTTTACCAACGACTTTACCAACGATTTTACCAACAGCGTTCACTACTATCACCGGAGATGGCCATGGGATCGACGGTAGATAGGTCCGCCGCACCTACGCGCAATTGCCAATTTAATAGCGGTGAAATCGTGGGGAAATTGCTATGGAAAGTGGTAAAGAAAGTCGTCGCGATGAGCATCATGCACACCGCTCAACAGAGCCCTTGACAGTAAATGCATCAAGGGATGCATTACCCAACACCGTTTTGTATGGGTAATGCGTCGATAATGCATCAAAGGATGCGTTTCCTGGCGTGGTAGAGCTTTAATATCATTAATGCGGTGTTCCTCAGCTCCCGTCACCTAAATACAAGATAGAAAACAGAGGCACCGCATTATCACTAGCTCAGGGACCTGGTAAGGTGGAAATTAACATACTCGAGACGCTCCACCCTCGCATACATATGCGCAATCGCTCTTGAGCTCCAGCTTGGCTCAGCCCTCCAGCTCCTTCTCCGTCCAGTCGTCCTATGCGTGTAGGTGAATCTCGATGGGGCGGTCGTGCAAGCTCAGCGTTCGAACCAGTCCCGCTATCCTTTGGTTCCCGAGCGTGTCTAGCAGCGGGCTCGCAAAATCGTCGATCGCGATATGGCTATACAGCCGGGCCGAGGCATAGGTGCGGAAGCATTTGGACACCAGGAAGGGACTGGCGAGGGTTTGGGTATCGATGGGTGTTCATGAGGCGCCGGACAAATAGTACCGGAGGTGGTAGTGCCCAGCTGGATTAATATGCATCATGCGTGGTAGAGTATTGCAATCAGCGCAGGCACATACCACAATATATTATGCCCTGTAAAGTCATACGGCAACTCAAGTGGTCCCTGACGCCAGATTCATACCGCGTAGAGCCCTCTCTTTTCCTAGGGTTTATAACAGAGGTTACGCCAGGCAGGATTTTAAGAACTTCACGGTAGCCCTAACCCAAGATTCCCAGCGCCAAGATAACTCATCGTGTATCACTCGGATTTTGGCCGCGTGAGTCGCGGTGTATCACTCGCTAGCTTTGGTTGAGAGGTTCAGTCGAACTCCTCTCTCGACGGACCTGCTTGAACGGTATTTTTTACCAGAGTACATTCAGAAGGGTATGTATCCTAGTTTTCAGGATTTGTTTGGCTAATAAGAGTCTCCAGGATGAGAGGATCGACTTTCCGTTCACCGCTAACTAAACAAAGACCTCCCTTTTGAGGTCCAACCGGATTCGAATTCCAAGATATAAATTAAGAGTCAAATAAAGATACACTGCTATGCAACTCCGCGGGTATTGGGTACAAACCGAGTGATATTGCATGATGCGTCCCCGACATCTTCCCCCTTCCTTTTTTGTTTAATTCATTATATTAATTACATGCAGCCTTACGGCTACATGTATGGAAATATAACACCAAACCCTAGAACCTTCTATTAACCCCTTCCACCTCTCACAAAATAACAATCACGAAATTACAATAAACCAGCGCGATCCCCGTGTTTCTTACAGTATTTTCCTCCCAGCAATTTGTTCTTCCCGCCCGTACTCGTCCCTATGCTTGCTATCTATATGCTGTCTCTCAGTCCGCCCCACCCTAGTCTCATTTCTCTCAGTTCTTCTTCCTAGTATTCATCCCTCCCTCCTCTCTCGTGCCGCCATTATCGTTCCCGACATCGGCCAAACTAATCTCTATCCCAACCTTGTACACTGAATTACTGATTGATAAACTAATCTGCTCTTTGTCACTCTGTCACCTTTAAGCAGTATAAGTCCACTCCTGGCCGGCTCTACCCATATATATATATCGCAGCTGTTGAGATATATTAGCAAAAGTCTCAATGACTGCTACTCCCGCGTGTCGTATCGACAACTAAAGGGTATTTTCTATCTCGCCTCATGTACAGTGGTCTAGTTTATCAATAGCATAGCTCTTCAAAACACCAACGCATCGCTATTCACATATGTACCGGAGCCAGCCTACCTGGCTTTCGAGGAAGGACGATGGTTCTCATCACCGCGATACCCGCCACACTTCCAACTCACAGTCATAAGCGAACTGCTACGGAAGGCGTGAACGCAGCGATCAAATGGGCAACATGTCCGTCTTATCTGCTATGAGCGTCCATTTTACTAGTTTAAAACGCACAATCAATTCATCAATAATTTGATATCTAGTTAATACGGCTTCAAAAGAAAACAGTAAGCGCGTCACATAGTGCAATTTATAATTTGAATTATCTCCATATTTTATTCTAACCCGTTACAAAAGTGAGCTTATGTAGAAACAAACACAAATTATAGTGCGAACTTCGTGGTAAAACTGCTCTATTGTAAACAAATGTTCTTATTGGTCTAGCTATAGTTTCAATCACAATCCACACTAGAGTGTGATCTTGTCGATATTGTTGATGTCACTCATTACACTAGTATACCTCAGTAGATTGAAATGAGATCATGCTGTCTCGTGTCCAGCCTTCTTCTGATTGGCCAATAAATGGGTGTGCACTCACTACTTGCCGAATTTTTAAGTGTAGGACGGAAGTACAAGGAAGGGTGAGTTGCAAGCGTTAGATTTGCAACCTCAACGTCCTCAACGATGGGTGCATCTGATATAACACCTCGACGCCGAGAAAGTATCATTCATAATCATGGGTTTCGCTAGAGGAAAATACCCGTATATTGGTAATAATAATTATTAAGCAGAATAAATTGAATTAATTGCGTTGGGCTTCGTTGAGTTGGGCTTCATTGCATTACGTTGCGCCGTTGTGGCGCTGAGGTCGTTGTAGTTCCGTCCTACACTTAAAAATCCGGCAAGTACGAAGAACCTGCGTGAGGTACGAACCTTGGCGCCAAGAAACGTTGGCTGGGCACGACACAGGAGATCATGTGGTTTGGACTTGTAGCAAAACATCATTTTTATTTTATCGCGCCCCTAATTCAATCTAGCCTACTTGCGAATGTCGGCGATAATGCATACTTCCCAGCAAAACTCCTCTATTGGTGTTCATAATCTCTGATTCGCCCCGCTTCACAGGATCTCACTCGTTTATAGGGTCAGGTTTAACAATGTTTTTCCTCCAGTATCAACTGGTAGCTCAATTTATGAGAAGAAACGTGTTTGATGAAATACCCGCTCGTAAATGGACCAATAATACAAATTTTGCCCCACTTTCTTGGACAAGCCGGCTCAAGTCGAGCCGGCCAATGGGCGCGTGAGCTCGAGACCTTGGCTCCAGCCGAAAGCTCGAGCCAGACCAGGAAATCTAACCACCGATCTTCACATATCAATGTTTCTAGGCCTAGAGCGCTGGTCTTTCTACTTTGCGAAACCTCCCTAGTGGAATGCTTGCAATTTTAAAGGTTCGTAGCGTCATTTTGGTAGTGCATGTTATCTACGCGATTTCCTGAAATATTAGGCAGTGTTCTCTTTTTCTTCGCTGCAATACAAAAGGAAACAGGTATTAATGGATTTCCTTCAATATATCTATTGTGCGCCAACATTCGGTTATCTAGTTTTCAGTACTTTTCTCTGGAATTCAGGCTTTAGCGCTGTCGCCAGGCGACCGGCTTCACGGTCGACTCTAGGTATAGACGACCTCCCGGGCCATTCGGACACCCCCCTCACTCGGCCAGTTAACGTAGAAAAGAAAAGATCAACGTTTTAAGTGGCTTCAGTACCTCTTTTCAACCAATCATGATTGACTGTCCGAGTGAGGGGGGTGTCCGAGTGGCTAGGGAGGTCGTCTATCCCTTCGTCTGGCAAAAAATGCTGACCCCCTTAGAAAAAGCAAATTCTTCTGTGGCTTTACTAACAGATCTTGTTATCTCTCTTATCAAATAATAGATCTCCCATACAAATTTCATTCCTCTATTATAGGGTGGTCAGCATTGCCAGACTAAGGGATATGGCAACTTGCTAGGCGCCGACGAATCCCTGTTCACCACAACGCTGATCCGTGATCGGCTTCACGCACGTAGATGCTTTCTAATTTCCCACACCGCCCGAATATCCCTCTTACTCGCGTATTTCACGTGAAGCTCATGGGATCCTATCCCTTGGGTGTGTGAAATTTTGCGAAACCCCTCTCATGCATAAATATCATGTGATCTCGAAGTTTGGGTGAGGAAACGACAGGGTCCTTATTTCAGTCAATCACTTCCTGAATAGATCGCGCTAATGCATGAGAGAGATTTCGCAAGATGTCTCACACGCCGAGGGAAGGCTTGGAAGGCGTTTGTCCAATTGTAACTAATCAATACCTTGTCAATGCTGTTAGATAAACGCGCGGTTAGGTGCAGATGACAAAAACTAGCGTACGTGGGGCGAGCATGCTATGAGACCCTGTATCAACGCCAAAGGAGGTTAATATAAGCTTCTAGAGGCATAAGCTTATCGATTGTTGGTTAAGCACAGGTACTCGTAATTTTTTGGCGTTTCCGGACTGGACTGGGTCTGCATACCACCAAAATATGGTTGTTATGCACGATTTTCGCCCATATGCAGACCCAGTTCAGTCCGGAAACGTCAAAAAATTACGAGTATATGTCTCACTCGAGACTGAACAAAAAGCAAATCCCGCAGGTGGATACAGCGTGTGACGAAAAGCATCGCTTATAATAGTTGCTACGTGGGGTGCTAGAACTCGAAAGCTATTCATAGCCCTTTTGTGATAATCATGATCCAAAATGCCCTATCTTTATAAGGACTATTGTTAGCCTCCATAAACCCAACGATACGATACGATACGATACGACAGTGTAGTAATAACTTATAAGCAATATTAATTTCCACTATTTATTTGCAGACCTAATATTCAACTTTGGCACTCAAAGCTTTTGTCTCAATTTTCATCTCTTCCTCACTTAATCCAATAACGGATCCAATAACGGACTCGACCTAGATATGGTTCTGAGCAATATCACTTTACGGGTTTATGGGATACCCAGCGCAATTACCGAAGATGACTTTCTCCATGACATCGAGGCCTGGCTTTCCAAGACGTTCCCAAAATTGTCAGCAGGAAAATATATCACCAGATGGTCCTTCGCGCCAGTTCCTACATGTACATACGAGTACAGAAACAAAGACGGCTACACAAATAAGCAAAATGTTGCAACAATCACCCTTGACGAGACCCCAAATGCCCTTCACAATGGGGGTAACTTTGTCGTAAGTCTAAAAGGACGGCCTCATACTCTAGCATTTGATTCTCATTTTCATGGGTTGACGCCTTTGAATAATCCTGCTGATCAACCCATAGTGGAGTGTGCCTACCGATTCCACAATCTTGGGGAGCAATGTTAACAACTGAACTTGGACAGTATCATCGCAGTGACCGGGCTTGCTGGCCATGCTTTCGGTTCATGGAAGTCGCGCGGCGAGAATACAATGTGGTTGCGAGACTTTCTTCCGGAGCATGTGCCGACGGCGAGAATTCTGACCTATGGTTACGATTCGACTCTACACCGAAATCTATCAATCTCTGGCATTGATGACTTTTCCACCCGATTGCTGGAGGTTGTAGCGACTTCGAGATCCCATGAAGAGGTATAACCAAAGTCCTATCTAGATCTCTGAAGATAGGACAGCCTTTAATATTATTTTGTCTTATTCAGGAGAAACAAAGACCCATCATATTCATCGGCCATAGCTTAGGGGGAATTGTGATTAAGCATGTAAGCATTCTATATACTGCCGATGCATAACAGATAGCCAGCCTTGCGTCCAGTTTGTACCATGTCTAACCTCCACAGGCACTCATCAAGGGTTATCGATCAGAGTTGCTACAACAAAGACAAGTATTCATGTCTTCCTATGCAATGATTTTCTTTGGTACCCCAAATAGAGGCCTCCAGATCGACACATTGAGATCAATGGTGAAAGGCCAACCAAACGCGAGACTGGTGGAAGATCTAGCACCACGGTCGAGAACACTCAATGAACTTCATCAAGAGTATTGTAGATACTTAAGCTTCTCCTTCAGCGATACCCAGATCGTGTCAGTCTATGAAACACAGCCAACAAAAACGGTTGTTATGGTAAGATCCCCCGAGGATAGATGTCAACTCTCTCGTGGCTCCTGCTGATGATATCGAATTTGTAGGTCGAACCTGGGGTTTGGAGAAGGGGAGGACCCCCTGTCCTGATGGTGAACAAAGAGTCGGCAACATACTCCGGGCCGGACGAGAAAAGACACGACCAGCTGGCGATTGATAGGGATCATTCAGATATAACCAAATTTACTAATCATCAGGACCCCAATTTCATTCCAATCAGGCAACGAATCATTGACTATGTTCGCGACGCTCCCGTGGCCGTTCGTACGCGTTTTGATTCTCGAAATCACCGTAGGTAACAAATCACCGAAAAAGCATGGGGTTATCATCTCATATATATATATATATATAGGATTTGTTTTTGTTTTTTGTTTATATATATATAGGTTTTGAAGAGAAATGAAATTGTTTTTTGAGCATTTGTCTGCAGGGCCAACCGTACATTCCGACCTTGATTATTGAAGGGTCAGGATCGAATTCGAACTTTATCTCGATCTTATAGGCGCAGATGTTCGAAAATCTCACTTTAGCAGGTGAGGGGTTGAACAATGGTTCCTGGGTACCACCCAGTGAACTTTTTGCGGTTCTTTGATTCTCATCCCCATAATAACAAACTGACGTCTGTCAGTGTTATGTGGCGGATTTTCTGGGCGATAATTCTATAGATGTACGCGTCGATATGTTCAAGGCCATTCTATTCCCATCCCATACGTCTTGTAATTCGATATAGCAGGACATTCCTATCAATTTTATTACGGGGAAAAGAGCTGTCGAGCCAGTTCGATAAAGCAAATATTCGGTATAGTGGCATTTGTTACAATGAAGGGCCGTTAAACAACGCGAGTCCATAACGCGTAGTAGTAAAAATGATCCATGTTCACTTGTTACAGCTAGGCCAGATTTCGGATCTGTTGATTCATGCGCATCATGAAATCTCACTCGACAATTTAATGTAAACACATAGTTTGGCCCTGTTGTAAAGACGGAGATCAGGATACGTTTACATATTTACCTATCTTTTCCTTTTGTACAGAGCACAGAAATCTAATGTATAAGTGTAGACACGTAGCTAGCCGTACGGCTGGCTGTGAAGAATGTATAACGTATCACAAAGCTGAGCTCCTCTTGGCATATTATTCAGCGGCGACATAAATGGATCCTTGGCCAACGTAACGTTGTTCCTCGCCCACAGTCTTCTATCACCGACACATTCATCATCAATTCATTCAAGTACATATATGAAGAAACACAACACCGGATGTGCATATTTATCCCTTTGGAGGCCGAAATTATTTAATTCTGAAGATATCAATCAATGGATCTTTCGCCGAGCGATGGAAGCAGCGGTCGTGTCGACTGTGGAGGGAGGTTCTTTTGCTTTCCAGCAGCTCTGTGCGTGCATATGGTGAGGATGGTGTCTTGAACGGCAAAGATTGCCGCACCTCCAAGTACAAGTCTGTGTCAACCTTCCAGCTAATCATATACCTGCCGCTTCTAAACTGATACAGAGACTCAATGGCTGCTGAAAAGGCTCTTAAATAGAAGACTTTACTCCCCCTTAATCCGGCGCCACAAACGGGGATAAATGGATATCAGAATATAAAGAACCACATGATATATCTAGTATCCACTAGGCAGCGAAACATTGAAGGGGTAGAGGGAATATAATAAGTATCTTATCCTGGTTGGTTCTTTACCTACAGGAAGAACCAGTCCAGTAAGTCAATCCTCCATAACCGAGAGTAACTGTCTGGATTTCGTACAACGGCGGAATTGGACCACGCGTACGCTAGCGCCGCGAAGCCCTTCAAGTACCGGGTCACCAGATATCAGCCCGCATTAACCCATACACCGATTCAGAAATTATATTATGGACAGGTCGTACCTTCTTTAGCAACACTCTACTCAGGGCTTGGCCCAAGCTTTGTCCATCATGAATAATGCCTCATACTCACCGGGGGATATGCTGTTGTCTTCACTGCGAACCTATCCTCCTCCAAGGCAGATCAACAGGTGATCATAAATTGAAACATATAAAACAATCTCATACTCGGCGGCGCCGGATAACTGCGTAGAACGAAATTCCCACGATATCCAAGCATGATCTTACACAATGGTGTTATTATTATATTCGGGGAATACTCCATGGACGAGAATGGTCTGAGTATGATTTCCCCGCTTGATCAAATCTTTTTAAATAATTATATACAGCCGTAATCTTAATCTCCTACATTAGAATTGAGACAATGTGCTACTATCATTAGTACCAGATAGCCCCACGAGGGCAGATGGCTCCCAAGCTTTCAAGGCACGGGTTCTTCCAGGGTAGCGAATCAGAAGAAATAGAAGTAATAAGCATTAACGAAACGAAACTACCGACGAAAGCTTCAGCTTCAGCTTTCACGGAGTTGCCTTCTTTACAGAAGCAACAAACGGATAGAACTAATGTTAAAAAAATAGCTAATAGACGTTTCTTCAGCACCCGACTCTGTGTTACCCCGTGACTACGTCAAATATCTCCAGATACATGCATATGGATGCGGCTACTATCAAAGTACCTTCAAATAAGAGGTAGGAGTCCTAAAGCAGGTTTAGGCGTTAATTGTTGCCCTAGGCAAAGAAGGTTTGCACAATGCCATCCCTCCCATCGTTCCTTTTTATTGTTTCGCACTTTCATCGAAAACGGTTTTAGAGATCGATGAAATGCGCAAAGCTTTTGAATCAACCAATCAACGACCATGCGCATCGTTTAAGTAATCCGTTTCTAGCTTTTCGGCTGGACAATATTTGCAATAACGACCTGAACCCTAACATAAGCACCTCCCAATGGGGCTATGCGCGTTTTATTTCTTATTCCTCAGCCCTACTAGCTAGCGAGAAAAACAAGTCTGTCCCTTTTGGTAAAGAAAGATCGGTGTCCTCCCTACCAAAAGGGAAAGACTTTTTATTCTCGCCAGTACGTCGTTCGCTTAAACCCAGTAGTATTCCGAATCCATTACTGTGCCTGCATGCGTGCTACCATTGTGACCTCTTCATGAGGCAGTTGTGGCGTTTCGAAGCACAAAAGATAAGCTAACGAATCAGTAACGATATCCCATGTCCGTTAAAGCTGCCTATTGATCCGGGTGGCGTATTTTCAGCCGAATATTTACCCACCAGGACACAGTATAGGTCCGACATGGTGACACGAGTCCATAATTCTAGCTAAGCGTTCACTAGCGCGACACTACCCTGTCTTAATCCCTGTTGATTTGCACGACCGACCAACCAAACAGCTCCAAAATGTCTCATTTCCGAGACATATATATCGGTTGTATATTAGATGGGATAAAGCTTTGTGGCGTCTAAAAAATTCGTCTAGGTAACTAATGAAACACATTCCCAAGTATGAATTAGCTGAAATTCGCAGTAACATGAGGTCTTTTGTGTTCGTTTTCAGCCGTGGCGTTTGGAGTTTGGATCATTCTGATGGCCTGATGGAAAACCTGTCATACAGGATACAACACGATTTCATATAAGCCACAATATGAACTTCAGCTCAATTGAGATCCAGTACGGATGCTCTAGATCTTCAGACTATCCACAAACGCCTGATGGAGAGCTCAATACGCGATAAACCTCTTTCTAATGTCTCAGCATGTGGAAAGTGTTGGACAAACCTCTAATTTCACGGGAAGCTGAAGGCCCGGACATCATCACGCCGGGAGTCTTGCTCTGAGCGGAAAACTCTCATACAGGTCAATGCCAATGATATCATTGACAACAAAGGGTATTTAAGAGCAGGTTTATCCCGCCCTTTACCATACCCTTCGAACCTTCATCACTCACCACAACATTTCTCAATCCAATTCCAAGATATACAAATTCAGATAGTTATAACCCAACTCTTCAATGTCTACCGCAACCACAGACGCAACGACGCCAGCAAAAACAGCCTCAGCTGTTAAGGTGACCGGCAATGATACCGCGCAGCAATTCGATAAGGTTGCTCAGACCATTAGAGGAGCCATCATTGCCTCGCTTCCTTGTGCCTTTGAGCAATTTGTCACAATTTCCATGCCCGGCCAGATCATCGATACCAGGCCCGGCAAAGCGTGAGAATACAGACTCTCAAGATATTGTTTATCCCTTCAAACCGACTAATGTGGCTATAGATATGTGCCCTCTGCAAAGCCGAGTAGTGGCGAGCTCCACAAGATCCGTGTCAATGAGGCCAGGCTTGTGGATTCCATGATCCCTCTCGACACTATGATGGTAGACATCAATCTCTCCCAATGTTAATAATGTAACTCCATAATGACTGTTAGTACAGTTGGGACCAACCGGGAAAAGCGTGTCCCGAAGTTACCTTGCAGCACTCGACTACCTCGTTCCGAGCGAAACAGAGCTTACGCTGTCCCTAATTAACAAAGGTTAGTAATTAACGTTTCCAGTATTTAGCAGTCAAATCTCACAGATCTCGACTCTAATATCTGAACAGACCAAGACGATAAGCCACCCACCAAGTATGGTGCTGCAATGAGATACCTCCGAAAACCGCTCCCGGGTATGCCGACAAAGACTCCTGTTGATATTTATGTGGAAAAACAAGCACTTTTCACCGCTGCTCAGGCAAAGTGGGACGCAATTCAAGACAAAAATGCTGGTAATTCTAAGCTGTTCCGAAATTGGTAATTTGCAAAGCTGATACCTTGGTAGCGGAAATGGAGACAAACCCTGATGATATGACGGCGGAAGAAATGGAAAAGAGAACGTCCCGGATGAGAATGGTATGACTCTCAAGATCACGCGCCCATTTCGTGCAAATTCTAATATAGGAGGTAGGCCAGATACGAACTTCAAGCCCGCTGGATGGATTGGGTTGTCAATGGTGACAAGATTCTTGTCGATCATAATTTTGGTGAGATTCCCTACGCTTTCCTACGCATATATATAAGAGTAATTACTGAGCGATTGAACTAGCTGTTGTGGACATCTCGACTGTCATGGCACGTATTGAGGCGAGCAAGGTATGATCTCTCGTTCTTCCAACGATAAGATATATAATTAATGAAATATATTAGGAAGCCGTAAGAGCGTCCAACATCTTGGATCTTGTCGACGGTACTCAATGGGCCCAAGTCAGACTTGAGCCTCAGCACTGGTACGCATCTATTGGGAATCAAGCATTTTTCTACTTCTGATTAAAGTAATAGGGCTACGCTGTGCAAAGAGAAGGCAGAGGCCTGGGTTGAGAATAACCCAGTCTCGCCTGCAGTTCTACAGCGAGAGATTGATCGCCTAAACCTTCTTCTTGCGGCATATGAGGGTTTTAAGGACGTATGTAGCGGACAGTTCATCTAGGTGTTCATCTTGCTTTAGCTAATTATTTGTAGTGGAATGACACCAAAACCAACCCCGAAGAAAAAGGTGAACCAGCTGAGACACCGGAAACAGCGCAATACTCGAAGGACACATACCTTAATGTCTACATTGCCGAAGGGGAGCTCAAGAAAGCTAAGGAAGAGACACCGGACAACGCCACAGCTATTTCTGCCGCAGAAGAGAAGTATAAGAATGCCGTCATAACTCTTGACGCAATGATCAAGGCCGGCACAGCTCAGGGAGATGTAAAGATGAAAGCATTGAAACTATCTTCCGGGAGAGGGATCAACAACTCAATTCAAGCAAGGCTAAGGAGCATCAAATCACAGATCAGCATACTAGAAGATCGTCTGAAGGAGAGCAGCGAGTCAGTTGGTAGAGATATCAGCGCCCACCTCGCGGTCAACAAGAAGGGGGAGGAATATACCCTTGTCGATGCTACGGAGGCTCAGAGTGAAGAGAATAAGAACCTTCTCAATGGATCATCAACTAGATCTAACAAGAAGCCTGATCCATGGACCACAATCTCATTCGAACATGAGGCCAAAAGTGATTCGACTTCGACAGAAGCTAAATCAATGAGTGCCAAAGTCAACATGAAGTATGGCGGCTTCTTCGGCGGGGCGTCAGTCAGCTCTGCATACTCTAAATCCAGCCAGTCTGTATCCCTCGGGTGACTCATATCGGGATTGTGTACGTCTGGCTAACCGCACCACGTCTCCGTGCCTTGAAAACAGATCGTTCCATCATGAAATGGCGAGTTCGAAGATCAAGGGTACATTGTAAGTGACATTGATATATCCCTTATCATCATCTCAAGGTGAAACAACGGCGATGGACTGACGGAATATAGTTCGGCCATGATGGTTCGAATCTCTAGACCTTGGTAAGACTCACCGCACTAGCTGGCGGAAAGCAATTATTAACTCCTACCAGGCTTCACAGCGAGCTTTTCCATGACTATGAAATTGACACTCCACAAACAACCAAGTAAGGATCACGCCGCTTCTATGGATTGTTTGTATTTCAGTGCTGATGTTGCTCCTACGCTTCTAGACTTAGTCCTGGCGCAGTCCAAATTCAGGCCATGCTAGCCGCAAGGAACGACGAAGCGTTGGCAGAATATGGGCTTTTTCCAACATACCCAACTGCATTCATTGTTGCTGCAAATACTGAAATTGAGGTAGCTCTTCCCCTTCACTACGCGCCATTATACATTGTCTAACACCACCAAGATCGCATGTGGAGAAGCCCATGCAGATGAATTCATGAAAGCATCTGCATCAGACACAAACATGTCTGTTAGATATGGCCCTTGGGGCGCAAAAGCAAGGTAGGACCAGAGATTTATCTAACTAGATATGGTCAAATAATTGTTCAATTATATACTGATCTCCTAATTTTAGCGCAAATCTCAAAACTGAGAACTCGAGCGCCAACTCAAGAATGGAGGCCACCGCAACCGGAATGAAACTCTCATTCCAGGCACCACAGATCATCGGCTGGGTCAGCGAGATTTTGCCACAATTACCCCGAGCCAAGAAGACCCCAGAGGGAGGGTTGACCGGGGGCCCTATCGCGCTCTTCAGGAACAGTGATTAGATTTAAATAGACATCAGAATGGTGGCTATGGGTGGTGTCTTTTAGTGATTATGGGGACATTGGTCCGACTCATGAAGTTATTGGGTTTTCTTCTATCAAGAATGTATGCGCAAGAGAAATATTTGTAGGAATTGTTAGTGAGATTAGGATAGTTTTTGTTTTAAGTACGGTGTAGCGTATTACAAAGAGATTTATATGATAATTTCAGCTTCTCTATGCATGGTATCTCGTGAAAATGTGATAAAATTTGAATGAAACAATACCATCACTAGATACATTAGATGGACGAGCCAGGAACACTGCTACAAGCGCAATAGTGTGCAATAAAGTATGAGGAAAAGTGTCGAGAGAGGATGCCCGGGCACGACTGCGGGTACAGGGCTCGCGGGGCAGCTATGGATAAAGTTTAAATAAAAGTAAGAAGCGCACCTTATGATTCGTTTAATGATTCGTTTCTACACCAAAAATTGATTCATTTCCGCCAGTTTTTTGGCGGGCCACAGATAGCACATTTCCTACGATTCATTTCACACCAAAGAATTTGTGTGTAAAATTAATGCATAAACTAATTCATTTTTATAGACTGTAGAGACTCTTACTGCGACTTGAGACACCCAAATTAATTATCAATCAATCAATCAATTTGCGATTTGGGACAAGTCAATTAGCCGAGTGATATTCCATGAGGTACCACCGGGTAGCAAACTATTAATTGCATGTTTGCTACGTAGGCTGTGCAGCTGCCAAGATAATATAAGTCTCACCAATAAACTGTATGACCTGAGATATCCCTTATTGGGTATCTCGATAGACATTACCAGGTATTGGGCCTTTCGATGGCTCATTCCGGAAGGCCGTACTGTTCTTGAAGCTCATGTTCCACAACAAGAGACCGTTAGGTCAGCTTCTCATGTAACTGTCGACAAAAGTATTACATGCACATTGCCACCTTGGGCTTCTTCATTGCGCCCTACCGAGATGACAGTGCCAGCTGCGGTAAATAGTCCCAATTAAACTGTAGAGCAATCAAATCAATTGGAGGCCACACAGTGCCCGCAGAGACGGGTAGGGTTGGTCCCTATATCAATTGTGATCATGATAGTACAGAGTGACTGTCAATTAATTATAGTATGTGCCATAACTGTCAAAGCTAATCAAGCTGGTAACCAGCAACTAGCGCTATAGCGGGCGCCAGTACAACCCCAATATATGAGAGATATCAAATACGACTTCCATTTGACGTCCTCGTGCCGTTTCAGGGAAAGACTATTGGCTACATGGCTTAAACTACACAATTGGCTTGTGATATTTTAGGTTTTCCGCGTGCGGCCTGTAAAACCGCGAACAATGCGACCAATAGGAATAGCGCCTAGGTCGGGTACTACGTTAAGCCTATAGATCCGGGCACTGCATAAATACATGTACATGTACTGTATCAGCTAGCCGCTCATACCATACTTTATCAATCCTGGAGAGTCTAACTTGTCCATCCTAAATCATCCAAACCAATCCAAACATCTTCAAGAATCTACCTGAACAACGATTTACATCTCCTCCATCTCCATCTCCATCTCCATCTCCATCAACCCCATCCTCTTTCCTAGAATATCAGATCTCCTATTAGCGGAAAACAATATACTCCTCAAACTACGACACATTTGACAAGTAATCTTCCGATGCCTGGGTTCATAACAAGGCCAGTCAAATTGGAAGTGAAATTCACGGTCATCGTGGTTGGTGGCTCCATCACAGGTCTCACGCTTGCACATTCTCTAGACAGAGCTGGCATCGACTACATCGTTCTCGAACGCCATGAAAACATCACTCCTGCTCTAGGATCCTGTGTTGGGATCATGCCAAACGGTGGGCGCATTCTCGACCAGCTGGGGCTCTTTGATGCCATCGAATCCGAGATTGAACCAATCCATAGATCACACACATGTTATCCTGATGGCTTCAGCTTTACTAACGCTTTCCCCGATATCATCAACAAGCGGCATGTCTATCTTCTGTCGTTGCAGATAAGGAGTGTTGGAACTCGAGTGCTAACTGATGAAGGAACAGGTTCGGATATCCTCTCTCGCTTTTAGACCGGCAAAAGTTGTTATCCATTCTGTACGATACTCTCAATGATAAGTCGAGGGTTTATCTCGGAAAAGAGGTCGTCAAGGTTGAGCAGCTTAGCAACCTAGTCCGAGTATCCACAAATGACGGACATGTCTATGACGGTGATTTGGTTGTGGGTGCAGACGGCGTTCACAGCAAAGTCCGCTCCGAGATGTGGAAGACCGCAGATTTAATAAACCCTGGCCTGATTACTCCACAGGAGAAGCACGGTATGTTGTAATTTTCATGTGTCCTTTCGGCCATGGCTAACGCATGCTGGGCCGTCTCAAAGCAACAAAGGCGGAATACGCCTGTATCTACGGCATCTCGTGGAACATCCCTGAGCTCGTAATAGGCGATCAGGTCACGTGTGTCTATGATGGAGTATCTGTCATGACTTTCAATGGTAGTCAGGGCCGCATCATTTGGTTTGTCACCAAGAAGTTGGATAAGAGATACCACTATCCGGACATCCCGCGCTTTACCAACGTTGACGCCCAGAAAGTTTGCGAAGGCATTCAGACCAAGGCTATCTGGGGAAACGTCACCTTTGCTGATATATGGGCTGGCCGCGAGAGTTATTGGATGACAGCATTGGAGGAGAATGTTTTTGAGCATTGGCATGTTGGTCGAGTCGTATGCTTAGGCGATAGCATTCATAAGGTCAGCAAGATACCGTTCCTCCGCAAACTGATACTGACACACACCGTAATAGCTTACTCAAAATGTTGGTCAAGGAGCGAACTGTGCCATAGAGAGTGCCGCAGCTTTGGCAAACTCCCTACATGACCTCATCAACGTTCGAAATATTCACAGGCCATCAAATAACGAGATGGAGACATGTTTGAACTCATTCAGCGAGTCACGCAAGAAGCGAATGAAGGTTATTTGCAAGGACGCTGCCTTTGTGACACGTCTGGAAGCTCGCGATGGGTTGGTTTGCCGCCTCATTGGTCGCTACTACGCCCCGTATTGTTCGGACTTTCCTGCGGATGCCGCCTCAAAGTTGATTGCTGGAGCAGTGATGCTCAATTACATTGCTATGCCCAAAAGAGCAGGGGGCGGTTGGATGGCAAATCCTGCTATGGCAGGAGCTCAAGGATCGGACCGGAGAGGATTATTCGTAAAGGTTTGTGCCCTCATTATCCCGGGTGCTGTGATTGTAGTAAACTGAAGATAATAACGATATGTTCAAATAGTGATCAGCATCAATAAATAATTGCAGGAGCGCTATCTTTTTCTAGGTGTTGAATGAGGGCCATGCGCATTACGGTGAGAGGATACGGTGGGAGGATACGGTATTACGGATTGAAAACCTATATTTTTAACATGTAACAAATATAAATTTAAGCACTCCATCCCGCCAATGACCTCTTCTTTGTGTGTCAAGATCACACCAGCCCAGCAGACATAAACCCTGATAATTCTATGTAAATAGTCGGGTACATGGGGTCGCATCATACTATCTCACTCTTAAGGGAAAATCATAGCCAGTATATACTTAGATACCAAAACCTCGTGCTCAGCCTACTTAACCTGATGTGTTCTCCGATCGAGAGCTAAAACCCTAACCCTGTATGACAACCAGTCCACCTCGCTGTGGCTCGCGGGGGCAGAGAGCATTGTTGGCCACTGGGAGGTTCTTGCGACCGCCGAGAACCTCTGGCGAGCGCTTTCACCCCAAGCTCAGCAGCCCTCCTCTACGCAGTGTTAGACCTAAACGTCGCTCGAACGCCGACTGACTGAAGGATAATCCAGAACCGAGTGAGATCCTGTGATGCAGCGGAGAACACCAAAAGTACGCCTTGCGGAAGTATCACCTGAGGCGTACGTAGTAAACAAACCTAGTATATAAGTGATTCTGATTCTATATCCGCTCTTTCACGTAAAAATTCCCTAACGGGTTTGTATATGGAGTCGATATCAAACAATATTCATCTATTTTTGCTCCATCTATTCCGGGCGACTGGCAAATACCCCGAATTCGCGAATGGACTGCTTTCTCCATACATCTGTGACAGAACCGATCGATTGACGAATCAACTGCTTAAATTTTAGTAAAATATGGTTTTCAAAACTATTCTCCCACGGTTTGGACGCGGCCACTTAAGATTTCAGGGCCCTAATAGAGATCGATCATAGGAAGGATGCTGCGTATTAATCGAGTCCTTAAGGACATCGCTGGCTGTTTCTAGGCATTACGGAGGTATCAATTACTAATTAGAGCTTGCTTTTTGCCCTCCTTGAGGTCTTTGAGGTCGCTGGAGGTTGCAGGGATCCCCTCAGGCTACAGGGTTCATTGGACATTGATCTAAATCAATTATTAGTTGTTTGCGATCAATATTTATTCTTCTAAGACTACGTTTTCCCCAGTCTATTCGCGAATAGACTTGTCCAGCCACAGAAGTATGAGGCTAGTAGTCCATTCGCGAATTCAACTAGGTATTCGCCGGTGGCCCGGAACACATCCTCGAGCAAATCTTTTTATAATTACAGCTGGTAGCCGTCTAGAAGTCGGGATATTTACTACCTACTCGACTAGTTGACTGCTGGTGAGGACCCGCTTGGGGCCTGCCTCGGTAGAAAGTAATCAAATGTAATTTCAATCATCGATCCTCCATCATGGGTGGAGGACGAAAAGAGTTTTAAACGGGTTTCAAGGGAAGAAGCAACTCCTCGCTAGTCCTTATTGGAAATCTCCGTTTTCATGTAGTCAACGATGCTTTCTAGGCCCGCAAGATAGGTCGCTAAATATGATTGATTCTCTCAGAACGGAGTTCCGCTGGAACGCAGTTTGAAGCCACCATAACCTCGGTTTCGAATGTTTCACGGACGGGCCCTAAAGGTAACTAACTGGTTTCTTCACACACCTCGAGTTCTATCTCCACACCTCCACTCCAAGATTTCTACGGGTCTTTTCTAAATCCCTACAGATCTCCAGAGTTTCCAGCACGATTATATTTTAGCTTGAAAATTGGAGATATAAAGCGACATGCATGGCTAAAAAAGAATAATGAAATCTATCAAAGAGCGTCTGATGCTCCCCTCCAGCTAGCCAGCGTTACTCTCATGGTGGCCGACCTTCATTACCGTGCTGCTGCTGTGCTGTATGTGCATCGATCTCGGACAGCCCAGGCCGCCACGAGTTATCCTGAGCTGCAGGGACAGGTTGCACTTCCATTTCGTGTACTAGTATCTTCCTGACGTTTTTGAACTGGGCCATTATTGCATGCACCCAAAATCATGAGCTTAGCGTATTTTTGTATGGCATGCAATGCAATATCAGTCGCGTCCACAAACGTCAGGAAAATACGAGTATCGGGTGCTGCTGTACTGGAGGTTGTGGCGGAGCACCGTACTGCATATGTTGCGGTGGCGCCTGCATGGCTACAGGGCGTTTCCTGTTTCTAGATCTCTTATGTGCTTTCCATAGGAAAACCGACAGTACCACAACTACTGCAACGGCCAGGAAAGATCCTATCGCAATCCCAGCAATTGTACCGCTGGTCAGTCCCCCCCCCCCCCCCCCCCAGCTGCTGACGCCGGCGTGCTTGTGGATGAAGATGTGCTTGTGTATGAAGATGTGCTTGTGGCACTTGTAATTGTGGGAGACAGAGCTGGAGCCGAGGATAGAGGAGTCGCGATCACAGATCCGGATGTAGACGTTATGGGCGGAGAACTAAATATAGAAGTACCAATACCGCCGGTCGGACCGCAGTAAATCACTATGCCCGTTTGGGTTGAGTCTATTGCTACCGTTGTAGAGCAGTATGGATTCGCCAAGCCGCTATATACTCTCATTATTTCTGGTTAGGAAAGATTCAGAATTCGAGGAAAAATCGTAATATTAGAGATTACCAAGTGTAACACCCCGCGCCGCAGTCAGAAGGTCGGGTTTCGTAATAGCCGACGCATTTGTGCATCTTTGTGGGAGCAGCGTCTGAAGATCTAGTAAGTCACCGTCAGCAACGTCAGTTACTATACAACAAGCAACCTATATCGTCAAAAGGATAGATGTATAGACAGGCTGATAGCAACCAATTTCATTCCCGATAGTAAAACATGCCTGGACCTGTTGACATTGTACTAATCCCACCAAGTCAGTATAAGAAATAGCTACATTGTACGCATGTTGATCGGTTAATCTAGAGCTCAAATATATGCTTAGCTTACCACTGAAATTGGGCATACAGCATCGTACCGATGGGATGAAGCCCATCCCGCAATCCATATAACCCGCGGAATAACTCATTTCTGTGGTTATAAACGTTGATAATGTGAGTGGTTCTCTCAATTGTAAAAATCAGCTACGACGGTGGTATTTTTATGGGGTGTACGAAGTGGCTAAGAGGACGGGGCCAAAGGAGGTTATACTATGTTTGTGGGAACCCCATAAAAAGATAGACATTACAAACCCGAAAAGCCACCAGCGACAGCACCGGTCCTAAGTGAACATTTTGAAGTGCAAGTTTTGTACGGATACCTGTATTGGGCATTGCATACCGGCTTATTCCATCCCAGGTAGTTGAATCATGGAGAACCCCTCCACGCCGCAGCAGAATCAGCCCACTAAATCAGCACAGTAAATAGAGTACAGACATAAAGTTTCCTCTACATAACTAGACAACATCCATTTTATTTTGACATTCTTCAAGCTAGTGGAAATCTCTTTGCGAATCCGTCTGGCAATACTCATGTGATCGTGGAGGGGAACTAAGTAAACTGACTTTAGCATGCCTGAGCCGCAATGTTGGCACCAACATTAAATTGGCAGTATTGCGCGGCACCGGATAAAGCTGATTCGATGAACAACATGTACGAGTTACCTTTTGTGGACAGTGGCGTTATACAAATATCTGAAACCAGCCCATCGAACGGCGGTGGCGCTGTATGATTTAGACCACCAGACAAGTCACTAAAGATCTCAGCCCCAGCTGATATTAAGGCTCTATGAGCTAGATCCGCTCGAGCCTGTCGATTTAAATCAGCTTGTCCTGGAAACATGTAAACAGTACTCACCCGAGGTAGCAAGGAATGATTAATCTTCCATTTTTCTGACCATAAGGCCCAGAGGACACAAAAGGCTTATTCCCGTAGCAAGCTTGGAGCCGGAGCCAAGCCCAAGCATATTGATACGATCTCAAAGATTCATTTACGCTACTAGACGTACATATATATGTAGGCCTACCTAGGGCAAAAGAAACCACGATGGGCTGAGAAATTACATAATAATCCAATCAAATGGATTCATTTAGTCAGACTGGAACCGCCCCAGGCCAAGCCGGCTTGAAAAAACCACATGGTTCCTTTTTTTCAACCGCGGTTTTCAGAGTTCATGATATTTTGAGCCGCCATTCCTACGCATTGTGTGGCACGAGAAGCCATAGGTGGCCGTATTTATCGACCTCAGAGGACATAGTTTTGTATACATTGATGCCATCCCTAGAAATAAGAATCCGCTAGCCGTCAATAACGTAGTAGATACATGTACGTTCCTCAATTTCTGGCCTTATTTGGTAGCATATACCCCTAAGCTCGTTTATCTGCCCTCCTGTTCTGTAGATGTATAGATGGATACCGTAAGAATCGATCGATACTGTGTTTCCGGATGATGTCCGGGTCCATGATTAACAAGGTATCCAGGATACTTGGAGAAATGGGAATATAGGACATTAGCATATACAAGCATTTTCCGGCCTTTGGCCGGAGTAGGAACTGTTATGGCTTAAACAATATCAGTTTACTAACGCTTAAGATCACTGAAACCCCAAGATGCCCTGTGCACATATCTGATATACTATTTGGTTGACTCAAGGTATGTTGGAACCAATATCTACTGGCTGATTCAAACATATTTGATAGAATATCTACTAACTCCAACATATTTGATAGAATATCTACTTACTGACAAACATATTTGATAGAGAAAAAGAAAACCCCTCAAACCTGGCCAATCAAAACCTTTAAATAACACATTGCATATCGGTATATCTATATACTTATTAGATAGTGGCTGTAATTAAGCAGAGCGGGCTGTGATAGCAAAGAAACAAAAGTGCCAAAAGTTATTGGTCCGGCCCCTTGGTAAACTAGATCTGGATGAGAGGGAGCGCCCTGCATCATCAACTTGAGGGAAGCTGTGAAGACTGCTGAGGTTTGATCGGGGAACATTTGCAACAATATCGCATATGTCGTTTGATTCCTACGCTTGAAGTCAGCCCTACTTTCCTAGCAGGCGTTACTATAATCCAAAATTAAAGGGAAAAGTGGGAGCGTACTGAATTCTCCAATTCCATCTCAAGAGCGCTGTTGGCTGGCTGTTGTGACCAGTCTCTATTATTCACGACGATGGGAATAGAGCATAGATTAATTAAACCAGCGAGCTAATACGCGTATATACGTATATTGTGGTGATGAGAGATGACCGTAAACAAGAGAGGAAAGTAGCTAGAGGTATTCTTCTGCGGACATCTATATATCGTCTTCCTAAACGCTACGTTTCCACTACATGTAGTTCCCATGCTTCGGCTATCAGACACACTCACTATCACATTACCGAGCGCGTGCAGCTCATGTGCCCGACAGCGCTCAGGAAAGGCAGACTTTCACTAAATCATTCAACCAATCCGGCCTCGAGCTAACCTTTTCGCTCGTACTAAATCCGCCGTCCGTACAGCTATGAGGACCCTTAGCAGAGAGCTCAGAGGTTCGGAGCGCGCCCATCTAGGCTCAATATCCCCCTCCATTCCACAAGAGTAGCGATCATTGACCCTCTATATAACCCTAACCCTACACCAATCAGTACCCACCCGCCAAGTCCCGCTACCACCCCCCAGCAAAAAAAAAAAAAAAAGAGAAAGAAAAAAGTATTCCGTTGCGGGGAATTGAACCCCGATCTAGTCGGATCATGAATGAGAGCGACTGATGCTAACCATTACACCACAACGGATGATGCCCGTGATGCGTCGGCAGGGATTTTGAATAGTTTTTTTTTTTTTTTTCTAGTAGCGGCGCTGCGCATGGTGGTGCTTCAGCTATCATATTGAATTCACCCCGTTTCTAACTAGAGTTTTAGCTACGCCTAACTTTTAAAATCCGAGGAAGAAATCAAGGCAAACTAACCAGGGTGGTTATGTAGTAAGTAGCGTCAAATGAGGACCAATGACCAAACCAGGACCTAATATTTGCAGTGCATAAACTCTCACACTGGAGAAACTACCATTAAGAAAGCTTCGATACCATCTCCAAACGTTCATACAGACACCCAACAAAACCCATGGTACGGACATCTTTTGCCCCCAAATCACACCACAGGCTGGTATCTACCCCAAAGCTTTCCCCCGCGCGGGGGGGGGGGGGGGGGGGGGGTGTGGCCGATCTTGCAATGATAAAAATCAAAGCGGCTGTGGGTATAAATAACGCTTTTTGTGTGGGCCATGGGACCAATTGACGCATCTCTCCCCAGATAGAACCGTGGGATTTATCAACCCATATATTCGAAAGCAGGTCTTCACAAGCCTTCCCGCACCACACCACCCCCCCCAGCCTAGGTCTTTGCACACAACGCAGCATGCGGATCCTTACCCCATGTAGACCATATAAACAGCCCCCCCCCCCCCCCCCAAAACCCCCCCGCCCCAGAAGCCGCAAAACAATCCACTTCAACAGGCTCCCATGCTTCGTTATCACAACAATACCCGAGAAACACGCACTCAATCCGTGCTCACTCCCGAAACTGCCACCTTCTCTTGACTACCTCGGGGTCCAATCTTGTAGAACCAAGCTAGTGGTGCTGGCGAGATGAAGCGGACGGACAGTAGAGTAGATTATGGGGTGAGTGTGCATGTTGACGAATTCCGGGTGATGGGGTGTGATTGGAGATCGGGTGATGAAGCATGAACGAGGGATACCCGGTGATGAAGTATGACGGGTGAATGAAGACTGTCGGGTGCTGACGTATGAAGAGGAAGAACAACACCGGGTGATAAATCATGAAGTTGCCCGACGACGCCCACACCTCGCCCCCCCCCCCCCAAGTTCCAACCCCCAGAAACCACCCCCACCCAGCAGCACAAGACCCCCCCGCCATCCCGCCAGCTTCTGTGCTTATCAAAACAACTCCACCCCGAAAGCCCACTCCCCACCGCCACCACAAAACAAAACCGAACGACAGAGAGAACACCACAGAAGCGAAATCCTTGAGTGTTCGATTTGATGAATCAGCCGGGAATCGAACCCGGGTCGGGCGCAAATCATGCAAGCATGGCAAGCGCCCGTGATACCACTACACCACTGAATCCTGCCTTGGCGGTGCGGGAATGGTTTTTTGAGCGGGAAGCGGGTGGGTGCCAAGACGGGGTGAGTGATGGGTTGTGCTTTCATTTCACGAGCATGGATTGGATTGTGGACTGGAGCAGTGGAGAGTTGGAGGATTGTAGGTACATTAACGGAGCTAATTACACAGGATCGGATGTGACCTCCTCGTGGATGAGAAACGAAGAAGGAGAAAAAGAATCAGAATTGATGTACAAAAAAGAGCCCATGAAAGAAACCCAAGCCAAAGCCAATTAACCCAAAAGACTCCCGGCAAAGCACGCTCACACCACAACCCTAACCCTGCGTCTCTCACACAAGCCATCATCCAGACGCTTCCCCGCAATAGAAAAAAGCAAAACTCAACACCACCACCACCACAAACTACTACAAATTGCCCCTCTCCGCCTGGTCCCTCTCGATCGCCTCAAACAGGCTCTTGAAGTTGCCCGCGCCAAAGCCCGAGAACCCGTTCCGCTGTATAATCTCAATAAACACCGTCGGGCGGTCCATCAGCGGCTTCGTAAACAGCTGCAGCAGATACCCGCCCTCGTCGAAATCCACGAGGATGCCCAGCTCCTGCAGCACGCGGAAGTCCTCCTTGAGCCGCATGCCCGCGGCCGAGAGGCGCTTCGCCATCTGCGCGTAGTACGTGTCGGGGACGGTGATGAAGGACACGCCGCGCGCTTTCATGTTGATGACGGTGGTGACGATGTCGGTGGTGCGCAGCGCGATGTGTTGCACGCCCGAGCCGTTGAAGAACTCGACGTACTCTTCAATCTGGGACTTGCGTTTGCCGTGCGCGGGCTCGTTGATGGGCATCTTGACGAGCTCGTTGGGCGACGCCATGACGATGGATTTGAGCGCGGAGTATTCGGTGAAGACGTCCTTGTCGTCGACGGACCAGAAGCGGTGGAAGCCGAGGGCTTGCTCGTAGCTGTGGTTATGTCAGTATAGGTTCGCAATATCAGAAACCCGGAGTGCGGGGGGGGGGAGAAACTCACTAGTCGCACGCCGCCTCCATCTCGTTCCAGTCCTGGTTCCCCACACAGTGATCAATCGCCTCGAGCCTCACCTCCGGCAAGAACTTGGCCACGGGGTCCACCTCCGTCGCCGCCCTATACCCCGGCATAAACGCGCCCCTGAACCTGCTGCGGTCCACAAGCGTATGTATCGTATCGCCATACGTCTTCAGGCTCGCGACGACCACCTCCCCGCCCTCGTCCTTCAGCACCTTGGGCGGCGCAACGCTCACGGCGCCGTTGGCCATCGCGCGGTTGTAGATCTTGTACACGTCGTCGACCTGGAAGGCTACGTCCTTGACGGCGTCCCCGTGCTCGGTCATGTGCCTGTGCACGAGCTCCAGCTCTGCCGCGTCCTCGGGGGAGAGCTCGGAGGGTGTTGGGGCACGCAGTGGGGAGGTGAGCACGAAGGTCACGAGCCCGTTGGAGACGACGTGGGAGGCGAGGGAGCGAGAGCCGGTCTCGAGCCCGCGGTAGGCGACGGCGTGGAAGCCCATGCGAGTGATGTAGTATGAGGCCGCCTGTTTGGCGTTGCCAACGTACCTGGGAGATGCACGTTAGGTCGTGTTCGTGCTACAGTGGGACAGAGGTGAGTGAGTGAATGGGGGGAAGGGAAATGGCTCACCAGTGCACATGGTCGTAGCCGCGGTACTCTGTGTTGTCGCGGATGGCGGTGGCTGACTGGACGCCGGAGAGCGGGAAGGTCTCGCCCGTGGAGGTTATGATGTGCGAGTTTGGAGGAGAGGAGGAGAGGGCTGATGGAGGCATTATGGCTATAGGGCAGGCGTGTCAAGTTCGTGAGGATTTGTGTGTGCTGCCGTGAAGCGTTCGTGTGTAATGTGTTTATATGTGGATGCGTTTGCTAAAGTTCAATGCAGGAAGCACAAGATCAAGATGGAAGGAAGGCAGGGCAGGGCAGGGCAGGGCAGCGGTGCACAGAAACCAGCGCGACAGACGACTCTGGCGATAGAGACCAAACCTTGAGAGCAGGAGGAGTGGAGTTTATGAAAGAGACGTCTCCGAGTACTCAGTGCCAGCCCTAACCCACGGATTCACCTATCCACCGATAGCCGGGTAGACACGGCCAGACGCGGGCGTTGTGGTGATCGCTGCATGACGGCATCGGCACCGGGGGGGGTTAACGCAGGGGGGCAGCACGGCTAGAGCTGGCAAGTGGAGCCTGGCCTTGTCACATCTACACTCTGCATACATACATACATACCTCACATTCCTGCCTCCTCTACAATCATTTCTACACCATTCCAAGCTCCACGATAGCTACACAGCGACACAGCGACACAGCTACAATGGCCACCACCCTCGACCTCACCCCCAACGACCTCCGCGTGCTCACAAACATCTTCGACACGCCCCCACCACCGCTCATCGACAGCACCCTCCCCCCAGACCCGCACATCTCATCCTCTCTTCTCCCCTCTCTAAAGTCCACTGAGCGCCTCGCCATCGCCGCCGCGGAGGCTTCCGACCTACCGACCGCCCACTCCCTCCTCCTCACGCTTACGAGCATGCACCCGAACTACGCATCGGGGTTCAACAACCTCGCGCAGGTGCTACGGCTCATCTCTGCACCGATCGAGGACATCATTGCCGCGCTGGACACCTCCATCTCGCTCGCTGCACCGAAGGACGGCGGCAGCGTGAGTGCGTCCCAGGCGAATTTGCTGAAGATGGCATATACGCAGCGGGGGGCACTGTGGTACGGCGAGTGGAAGAAGACGGGGGAGGAGGCCTGCGAGGAGCGGGCGAGGCGGGACTTTGAGGAGGGGGGGAGGTGGGGGAGCGGTGTGGCGAGGGAGATGGCCGTGAGGACGAACCCGTATGCGAGGTTGTGTGGCGCGATTGTGAAGGAGGCGCTGACGAGGGAGTATATGGGCCAGGGGGGGGTGTGTGGGAAGTAGCTGGGGTTTCTTACGGTTCTGTTCTGTGCTGTTCGGTTTGATTCTTTGGAGGGCGTTTTTTCTATAGGCTGTGATTAGAGGGTTGGATTGTAGATAGCTGGTTATTTGCTGATCAATAATGACACTTTACAATTGCAATCACATCATAGGCTCTGCACGCGTGCAGGGGCATTAACAAGATTTTGTTATCCCGGGCCGACCCACATGGTCAACCGTTTGTAGGCGTTTGCAAGGCAGAAAGAATCGAGACGCGGGGAAGTAAGTGCAAAAGACACAGTAATGCTGACGTATACTTTACTGTCCAATACCACGGTCAAAGGAGCGTTCAGGTCTTGTCATGCTATCCGATAAATCCGGGGTTGGGCATATTCACGACCGCACAGACTGCTCCAGAGTACTGCTCTACATGCATACGCTGGGTGATAAGGGACTCACCAACTGCAGGTATCCGTTGAAGCAGCGGTGGGCGATCATCGAGATGACCTGTGCGATGCGGTAGAAGCCATATCCGTCTGTCGGTCGTATCTACTCCACCTGTAATAGTAATGCCTACCTCCATGCTCGACTCTACTGAATCGTGCGTTGTCGCTGGCCACATGCAGCCGCGTTACCGCAAATAGTAGAAAAGCTTATCAGTAGCGCGGCTGCCGTCGGCTGCACGCACGTGGTTATCGCAATCTAATCGCTTGGCCGCGTTCGCCTTCCCAATGCAGGCGTGCGATAGTGGAACGTCATTAAGCTCTGTGGTGATATTGTATGCCCTCTTCTATCCGTCTCAAAGCGAGTTGTGAAATTGATGCAACAATGGCAAGGGAAGGAGGGGAAGGGCTGGGAAGGAAGGGGAAGGGGCATGACATCTTCATCATGGGATGGGACCAGACAGCGGGAAGGGGGATGTAATATACGGAGTGCAGACCCAGAGACTGAGTAGTACTTATTGTGCACTTCCCCCTTCCCCCTTCCCCCTTCCCCCCAGGTGACATTCTTGTTGATTACCGTGTTACGAAAACCTTCATGCTGTCCAAATTCTGTCAACACACATCTCCTCCTCCTCCTTAACCAATCTACTACACCCATAACTGGCGTGATAATATGACCATCATCAAAGACTCTCTCCACTCGCTGGAGATCCCTGTGCTGCTCTCCCTCTCAAAGATGTCGGTTCTGTCGAGCCTCTCCATTCTGCTGTCCTCACTCGTAGCATATCTTGCCTCGCTCGTGTTCTACCGTCTCTACCTGCACCCGCTCGCAAAGCACCCCGGCCCGTTCCTGGCACGGATCACAGACTGGTTTGTCCTCCCCTTCTTCCCCCCCCGCAAAATACTAGGAATCAATGCTGAAATCCTCAATCCAGGTACAATGTCTACCACGCCTACCTCGGCGACCGCCATCTCGCCCTGCACAACGCCCACCTGAAATACGGCCCCGTCGTCCGCTTCGCCCCAAACCTCATCTCCATCAACTCCTCCACGGCCCTCAAGACCATCTACGGGCACAGCCCCGCCTCGCGCTCGCTGCAAAAGGGGTCTTTCTACTCGGCCTTCCCCGCCGTCAAGGGCGTCTACAACACGCACAACTGCATCAACAAGGCCGAGCACGGCCGCAAGCGCCGCGTGCTCTCGGCGGCCTTCTCGGAGAATGCGCTGAAGAGCATGGAGGACCTTGTGCTCGGGAACATCCAGGTGTTTGTGGACGAGATTGAGCAGCGCAGTGTGCAGCTGAAGAAGGGAGTCGATATGGGCGAGATGTTTAGCTGGCTGACGTTTGATGTTATGGGAGAGCTGTGTTTTGGGAAGAGTTTTGGCATGTTGAGGGATGAGACGACGAGGTTTGTGACGCACTTGATTGCGCAGGCGGCGCATAGCCACTACATCGTGAGTATCCCCCCAATAAAACCCTGGCTGCCGATTCATGTGCTAATTGGGCCAGAACGGAAACTATCTCCCCCTCGCCACGCTCAAGATCTCACGGATCCTCTTCCCCACGATCCAGCGCGACAGATGGCGCTTCATCCAGCACTCCCGCGGCTGCGCCAACGAACGCATGAAGCTCGGCGCCGACTACAAGAGGGACTTCTTCCACTACCTCCTCGATGCCAAAGACCCCGAGACCGGCAAAGGCTTCGAAACCGCCGAGCTCTGGGGCGAGGCCAACGTGCTCATGATTGCGTAATTAGTCCCCCAACCACCCCTGTCACAACGCAACTTCATGTCTAACTGATCATTGATATACAGCGGCTCCGACACCACCGCAACCGCGCTCGCGGCAACACTCTTCTACCTGCTCCGCAACCCGACGAAGCTCGCCACGCTGCAGAAGGAGATCCGCGGCATGTTCAGCAGCGCGGACGAGATTGTGGGCGGGAAGCAGCTCACAGACTGTCATTACCTCAAGGCCTGTATCGATGAAGCCATGCGTCTTGCGCCCCCCGTTCCCGGCCTGCTCCCCCGCGAGGTTACAGCGCCGGAAGGTATCACTGTCGATGGCGTTTTCCTCCCCTGCGGCGTAAGCACCCCCCCGCCCCCCCTCTCCCTATAAAATAGGCACACACACTAACACACACCCAGACCGTAACCGGCACTCCCATCTACGCCCTCCACCACAACCCCACCTACTTCCCCTCGCCCCACGCCTTCGACCCCGAGCGCTGGCTGTCACCCTACACCTCCGCCGACGACATCGAAACGGCCCGCGCGGCATTCACACCCTTCTCCATCGGCCCGCGCGGCTGCATCGGCAAGTCCGTGGCGTACGTCGAGCTGCGGCTCACCGTGGCACGGCTCATGTGGGAGTTTGAGGTCAAGGAGGTGGTGGAGGAGGGCAAGGGCGTGCTGTGGAGGGAGGGCGTCGCCGCGCAGGACGGCGAGTTTAGGTTGTTGGATCATTTTACGAGTAGGAAGGAGGGGCCAGTGGTGCTGTTTGAGAGGAGGTAGTGCGTAGGGGAAGGGGAAGGGGTGTTTTTTGTTTTTGTTTTTTGTGGGGTTGGGGTTATGACATGTGTAATGAAACTTGGTGGGTTAATGAGCAATTGTTGGATGTCCAGCGTGGAATAGGTGCGCGGATGGAGTCCTTGTCGGAGTATATAAATCACTCTACTCTACTGTCGTATCCCAGTCCTACTCGTGCTACTTGTAGTAAATCGGCCTTGTCCGCACAACACGCTAACAAAAAAAAGCACCCATCTTAGCACGCTTGCGCTAGCTTCATAATAGACCATAGCAGCCAAGAAAACAAGATTCAGTGGTGTAGTGGTATCACGGGCGCTTGCCATGTTTACATGATTTGCGCCCGACCCGGGTTCGATTCCCGGCTGATTCATCAAATCGAACACTCAAGGATTTCGCTTCTGTGTTCTCTCTGTCGTTCGGTTTTGTTTTCATTTGTTGCTTCTGTTTTTGTTTGAGAATGGTGAGATGAGTGGGGATGGACGGGGGCTAGAGGGACGGAATGTGGAGTCATGGTGTGTCACTCGGTGGGTTTGTGTGGCCGAAAATATTGATATTCGTGTCTTTCTCCCCAGAACGCCCCTCCATCCACCGCCATCTCGACAAAGGAGTGTCCGGAAATATTAGGCGCAAACAGAGCCAGCTCAATTTACTGGTGCCAACAACCTGAACCTAGGAACTTGAGTCTTTTGTGCAGAGCCTTTTGCGGTACTAACTTGTACGCACATAGGTGACTTTTCCGGCCATGGCTTCTGTATGCTCTCCGAATACACTTAATGAGTTTTTTTTTTTAAAAAAAAAGCGGGCATGTTCTGCTATTAGCCGTTTGTGGGCGGGTCTGTAGAGTAGAGTAGAGTTTGTTTGCTCGATGATACCCATACTATACGCTCCCAATCCTGTGCGATGCACAGTCTAGACAAGACCATCTCCTACGTGATCTTCGGATGGCTACAGACGTATTATTAGGGGTTCTGGGCTTTGCTGGTGGCCATGGTGTCGGTGTTGATTGATTCATTATGTTTATGGTGTCGGTGTCGTTAAACTACAGCTGTCTGCACACTCATGTTAGTTTCTTATTGGTTCGAATTACAATAAATGATGACTCTTATTCCCAAAGAACCATGCAACGCAGAAACCGTTGTTTCTCCGTTAAATCTTAATTCCGGGCGAGAAGAATCGTGGGTCTGCGCCGTGCACAGACCGTGAAGTTTGATATGGTGCGAGAAGGAGTAGAGGGAGTCCTTGACAACCCTGTACACACCACTTCAGCCAATTCTTTTATCGGCGCCGGGAAGCAAACATTGAGGAGCCTCACTTTTAAATCGGCCCTATGGTTGTAAGGGCTATATATATACCGTACTGAACCGGTGCGAACACTGGCTAAAGTGCTGCCAATTCAATTCGCCTTGGTCCGGAGTACTTGCCACATACAAATACCGAGATAGCGGACTTCTCGCGAAATCACGGAACTCGAAAGTTCTGTGGGGGGGCCTAGAAGAATTGAATTGGCACATGAATGACTGGACATGGACAGAGTGCCCTTTCCCTTATACGTATATCGATTCGACGCCCCATATCTACATGTATGTAGCTATCCGTACGACTCATTCTCAACATTTCCAAATATGCCTACTTACATATCTACCGCCAGAACTCAAAGAACTGGCTAGCTCCCATGGGATCAAACTTACAGATCGATGCTATTCAACCGATCACTGGTATAATTAATTGATGTAATATGTGGCTTTCCGGAGTAGACTGCAAGGAGGATTGAAGAGCGGTGCCTGGGACATTTTCCGGGTCTCGTACACACCCCCGACCTTATTGCTACAAGAAGTGGCGGAAATCAGATAAGTGCAAAACCCTGTAGCCATAGGTATATATACCTAGCTAGAGCACCCTGTACTACATGTAGTGCCGTGCTATACATTCATCATCATCAAACTCCTCGCACATCCACTCCAACCAAGAGACCTCCTCTAAGGTCTCCCACTACCCACTCCACTCCGAGCAATTGAGCCTACCAAATATTCTTCTCACCTCATACTTATCCCCCCCCCCCCCCCCACCCTCCGCCTCCACCAATGCCTCTAAACGCCGACGGTACCCGCACTGCGGATGGCCTCAGCCCCAGCGCCAGACTCTTCATACGCGGGCCAATGAACCTCCTGGTCGGAGCCCCGGTCGCAGTTGAGCTGACTCATGAGACGGATTTAAAGAAGCTCATGGAAGAAATCTCCTGGGGATGCCCTCACCGTAAAGAAGTTCCTGACGGTTGGGTCCTTGAACGTCTTGATTTTAATTTTGGAACGATGACTCCCTGGGGGGAGGATCAATGGAGGGAGTTGCAAGAAGAGTGTATTAGGCGCAGAGAGTTCATTCTCTGTCTGGCCGGAAAGAAAGATAGGCCATCGATAATCGTAGTCGTGCCAACGCCACCATATGATTTACAATACATGTACAGATCTGCAGATCGAGTAGTGATTGATGCTCATCGTTGTAAACTAGCTAGAGATCGAGCTGCTGCAAGGGAAAAAGAATAGTCGGCCAGACAGGGAAAAGGGGGGGGGGGGGGGGGGGGGACATAGAGGTGATCTATCACGGATTAGATTATGTCTTCCTATAGTTTTTTTTTTATGTATCACTTCTGTATCTGGTTAAATGACACGTTTGAGATTAGACCTGACGGCGTAAATGATAATAAATATATCTACTAGAGGACAACTATAAATCACTTCGTCATTTAACACAATAGTTTTATAAAAAAAAGACCACTGTTCAGCTAAATGACTATTTGACTAAATGACTCCTGCCAGCTATAAAAGCACCACCACCACCACCGGTGGCCTTCCTCTTCTTCAACGCCAACACCTCAGCACCACCAACACCTCCACAATAATTATCACCAATGTCTTCAGCATCATCCCCTTCGCCCCCATTTCCATCAGGTTCATCATATTAGATCAGTGCCCCACCTATTTCCCTCCATTCCCTAACCGTTCCCATCTGTTCCTTACGTATACTTCTTCCCCTCTGCTTCCCCTCCTGTTCCCCTATGTTTCCCACCTGTTCCCCTATGTTCTCTCCTTTTGCTAACGTAGTTCAGTGCTTGGGGTCACCATCACCATCACCGGTATCGAGGTAGGTCATATCCAGCCCACTGATTGATATAGCCATTACTAATAGGGGGCAGCAACAGCAGCGGGGCAGCAGCAGAAGCAGCAGCAGAAGCAGCAGCAGAAGGGTCAGTGGTAGCAGCAGTAGCGGGGGCAGTGGCAGCAGCAGCAGCAGAAGGGTCAGTGGTAACAGCAGTCGTGGGGGCGGTGGCAGCAGCAGCAGTAGTAGCATAGCAGGAGTAGTAGCATTAGGGATAATAAAATAAATTGATTTTTATATATATATCTAAACGACGGTCATTTATTAACGGTGGTCATACAAACGACGTTGTCATTTAGACTAAATGACGAAGTCACTTATACTAAACGACTCTACTAAACGACAAAGTCATTCACAGTTTGCTACTTATAGATATATCAGCCCATAGTCTAAATACTTTTTGATGAAGATCTTGGTAAATCTGGAGATCCGAGTGAGAGCTCGTGAAGAACATCCTACCGAAAAAAAAAAGAGAGAAAGAAACGCCAAAGCCAGAAGCCAGAACCAGAAGAAAGAAGAAAGCCAGCCAAACCCAGGACCTACACATCCAACTACCCTCTATCTAAGCCGGCGGTGGGAATGCGCCACCCCTCGCCAACTTCTTCGCCCTCTGGTCTCTCCTATTATGGTTAGCTCTGCTCCCTTTGCTTGCCTCCTTCTTGGCCCTTCCCTGCATAGTCTCCTTGTCTCCACTTGGGCCAGCCACATTCCCGCCGCCTCTACCTCTCCCACCTCGTCCACCTCTTCCGCCCCTCTCACCCCTAATACGACCACCCCTCCCCCGGTCCCCGCGGCCACTATCCTCCTCCCCCTCCGCCGGCGCACTCCACCGCGTACTCTCCAACACCACAGTCTGCCCGCTACCACCCACATCCCCATACCGCCGCTCCAACATCCTAAGCCTCCTTGGCTCGCGCTCAAGCATGACCTTCCACCCCTCGATAGCCTCATCCGTCATCCCCGTCTCGCCCTTCAGCGCCCTCCTACCAGCACTCCTGCGCGTCTCCGCATCCCGGCCAAACACCGCCCCGTCACGACGATAGGCCTCCCACAGCGCCTTCTCGGCAGGTTCCTCGTTGCTATCTGCAACTACAGCTGCGGGGCGCGGGGCGGGGTCCTCGTCGTTGGTGGGGTCGACGGCGCCGCCGACGTCGGTGGCGTCGTATGTGTCGTCGCGCTCGTCGTCGTCGAGCGAGATTGCGGCGAGGGCGGAGAGGATGGAGGTCTTGGAGGGGGCGTCGGTGGTGAGGAGGGCGTCGGCGGTGAGGGAGGCGTTCTTGCGCCCGACGTGCACGTTGCGGAGTGTGGCGGGGGAGAGCGTGTCGAGGGCGTCGTTGTCGTATTTGTTGCGGCGAGTGATGGGCGCGGGGGTGTGCCTGATGGTTGGCTGCGGGGTGGGTGTGGGTGTGGGGGCCATGTCTGGTGGAATGCTATATAGACATTTGTTAAGGTAGGACTTAGTATATAATATGAGGGTGAGACTTACTATTCCTCTGACCGGTCCGCTGTGACCAATGACTGCGGCAACGACTCCTCCAGCAGCGCACTGGTGACCTGCTCCACATCGCCATTAAACACCTCCAAGCACCGCCGAAGAAAGCCGCTGCCCAAGTCCGGAAACAGCTCCCGTATCATGGCGACCTTGCCCATGATCTCGATCTCCTCCTCCTCACTCAATCCCACCATCTTGCCCTTCCCCTTATCCCTCCTCCCCTCGACAACAATCTTCCTCCGCACAACCCTTGGCCGCCCAAAGCGCTCCAGCGCAACCAGCAACGCATCGATGCGCCCCTCCTCCGGCGTCTCGCGCGAAACCTTCCGCAGCGCGCTCACAAAACTCGTCTCCTCCACAAGGCTCTTGAGAAACGCCTTCTCCTTCCCCGCGCTCCCGCCAACACGCGGGTTCTCCGCCGCGCTGACAAGCACATACACCCGATCCGTCACTAGGCTCCAGTTGCCCTTGCGCCCCGTGTCAGAGCCTGCACCCTCCAGCACGGCGGTCCGGAACTCACGCACACGCCCGCTGTCGACACACACGTCCACCCAGTCGTCGCCTGCCAGGAAGGTCTCTGCTGCTCGTCGACTAAAGCGGAACAGGGCCTCGAGGCCTTCGCTGCCAGCACCCTTTCCGGCGATGACGCTGCGCAGCATGGTCTCGACGGCTGTCTCGTAGCGGCGCCAGACGGGCGGGGTGTCGAATGTTGTGCGCAGGAGGCGGGAGCGCGGGAAAGAGGTTGAGAGGGAGCGCAGGAAGGTGGGTGTCGTGTAGGGTGGGGGGAGGGCGATCTGGGAGGGGAGGGTGAAGAGGCGGTGCAGTAGAGTGGTGACTTTACGTTTGAGGGATTGCTGGGCGGGTGTGCTGGGGGGAGGAGAGTGTGCGAGGTAGGTGCTGAGGAAGGTGCTGAGGGCGGGGTCTGTGAGAGAGGTGCTGGTGAAGGTGGGGTTGGGCGTCTGCAGGTGGTGTGTGAGGCAGAGTGTCCATAGCTCGTAGGCGCTGTCGGGGATCGAGGGGTGCTCTGAGGGCGGGGGAAAGGGGGCGATGGGAATCGACATTGCGGGTGTTTGGAGGAGTTGAGGTTGAAGCTGGAGATGAGTGCTGGTGATTGCTGACATGACGCAGCGAGAGGTTCTGGGATCGAAAGGCAGGGTAACTTTGGTGCCTGCATGATCATTGACAGGAAATGATCGGTTGGTAGGTAATTGGGTGTGGGTTAGGTGTAGCTGGGAATTAACTAGTTGTAATAATGCTTGTGATATTACAATACGGCTGCTAATAGCAGTAACAGCTATTACCCAGCGGAGCGGTGGATAAACAAACATGCATAACTGACATTGACACTCCACCACTTAGCCACCACGGCACCAACACTGAGCGGTCTTGGCGGGCACCTTGCTGGTGCCGTTGTAGATACATGTAGCCAGTGAGGTGGTTGGCGACTTAAAGGAGACGTTTTATAGCGAAACAGGAATTCAGTATAGATGTTGATCCTACGGAAATCGCAGTGAAATTGAGCTCAACTCAAGCTCGGTTCATAAATAGTAAAGCTCGAATGGTTGTATTGTGATGATGAGAAAAAGAAAGAAAGAAGGCAAGACATAGAAGATATAAGCGGAGACACACTAAATAGCTACTACATGGGACACGGTAGTCTCTGTGTCCTGTCCTTTGACCCACAGGCTATCTGTCGTCGAGCTCGTATTCCTAGTTTCGGAGTAAATCAACCACAACGTCCGAGAGAATGGAATAGAACTGATTATACTATCACCAGCCTTATCCTTGGCAATTCTAACACTGCCAATAAAGCTTTTGTATAGGGGTGGTTTATTGATCTCCAGATTCTAAAGGAGCTTATGGTTGGGTCGGCGGGTGTGGAGTTGAGGGTTAGGGTTCTGTATCCCCATTGGGTATTGAACTATTTGAACGAATTCCCTGATTATTGTAATAGGGATCCGCTCGATTAATGATTTTATCGTAGCTGAGAGGATGTATGTATATGAGAGGCATGTTCATGTTTTCTCCGAGAAAGATAATATGAGGGAAAGGGGTTGGAGGGTGTGAAGTTCGGTGCTAGCTAGAGCTGATACTGACTGTTTGATTCAACTGCAGGATTATAAATAAACGGAGAACAAAGACACATGATGTTTAATCGGATATCTAGGAGACATAAAGATAGCATTGCCTTAAAGGCTTGAAAATAAACCAGAGAGAGAAACTACACAAGTACAGCGATGAATCTGAAAAGATATATTATAAAGAGGCCACTTCAGAATATAACGTTTAACGGTGAAGCCTCTATAGAAGTACGAGTAACGCAGATATATTGACTGTGTATGAACAAAACACCAAAGAAGTATTTTATTTTAACCCGTCAAAAGATTTCATATCAAGAATAAATTCCACCTTTCGACGATTCCGGTAATGCAGCGAAGGATGGTATCTGTCGATCGCGATCGTGTTCCGAGTCAAAGCCGGCTAGCTATTGATAACTTAATCTAACCGAAACTAATGGTGACATTTTCTGTGGACTGCATGGGCCATTCCTAAATTATAAAATCCCAACAAATAGTGGCAGTTTATTTGTTGATTTTGAAAGTGCTTCCGAGAACGTTGAGGAGGGTGCATCAGGTTGGATACTGTGTTTAAAATGCCCAAATTAAAAATACTAGCGTATTCGACGAGAAGCGTTGTCTCGAGTCCTCGACTCGAGTTTTTTTTTTTAGGTGTTATTTTGATCATATGTACTCAATATTCTTGGTCATTGGAGTAGAAACCCTAACCCTGGGGACATTTATCCAACAAAGAGATCTAGAATGAGTTCAAGGATTGATTTTCGAGGCCAATGAAGAGCGTGGGTGGAGCTCGAGACACTCGAGCTTTTACGAGTCGAGCCTTTCTTCCTGCTCGTCTCGAGACGGCTCCTCGACCACACTATTATGGTGCCAAGCTTATCAATGATCAAAAAATCCAGCTATTGCATCATTGACACCATGTTTCCATCTCCGGGGTGAGTCGGTAGATTACACTTTCGAAAGCCTGCTAAACCTAAGCACATCCGTTGATGGTATTTTTAGTACTCTACTCGTAAAAAAACTCTAAACATCCTGATATTAAACTTAACCCCGGTTTAACGAAACGTTTACCTCACAAATACGTACGTACGATTATAAAGAGAGAAGCCCTATCATAGAATGATATAAGCCGGTTCCGGTCTTCAGCCAGTGAGGATAATGAAATAAAGAATAGTGAAGAGTGTCACCAGAGAGGTGTACTACCTCTATCCTACTCTACTAAAGTGGTATACCGTTGATATATCACAATCCCAAAACATATCATAATCCCAAACATCTCAAAATCACAAAACATATCACAATCACGGAATAGCAGAGTTCAATAACAACAAAAAGAAACGGTAACCTAACATAACCTCCAACATAACCTTTCTTTTTAGCTGACTCGCCACCCTAAATATCAATAGCTCGAGAAAAAGAAAACATCCAAAACACAGCCAATCAAAACCTTTAAAATACACATTGCATACTCGGTATAGCTATATACTCGGCACGACGCCCCCAGACTTTGACCCTATCTTATGGGGCCCGGTGGTAGTCGTATGCCCTGAACGAAGGTCCCGAATTGGTTTCTAGTAAGTGCCTCCTTGCTCGTAAGGAGGGCAGCTACGCAACATCATGTTACTGATGATCTGATTATAATATTTGGAAAATTGATATGTTATTTTGGGCTAGGGTTGTTGGTCCACATGGAGTAGCCAATCAGAGAGCGATATAAGCTCTTACCCCCATACCCTTCACTTCGTCAGGGCACTAATTAAATTGTTAATACATATCTTCATTATTCTTGGTGGGGTTGTTCCACTGTGAAAACATGGTGGTTTTCAGTTGATTCTCTATGCCATATTTACATTGCCTAACACATTTCTACGAAGGATAAGGCTAGTTAAAGGGATTCAGAATCGTAAGAAAATAACTACATGTATACCAAGTCACCCTAGCTCCATATAAGTTCACAAGCCATTCAATATCGCGTATAGCCGCATCAAAGCACCACTTCAAGAAATGGAGTAAATGTCGTAAAATTCGTTCTGCATAACTACTCCGTCTTTGCCTTCGCTGTTGACATTCCCCCCATCTAACCAAGCACTTTTTATTCAACGCATCTTCCTACAATTTTACTCGGTACAGTAACTCATATCTTCATCCCAGCCTATAACCATCCACCTCGTAAAACAGGAACCAGCAGCGTTAATGAAAAAGAAAAAAAAATAAAGCAGAATGAAAAAGATAAAATAGCATACTAAAAGGTAGAGGAGCAATTCGTCAAGGCACGAAGGGGGAGGAGAAGGGGAGGAGGGGGGAGAAGGGGAGGAGGGGGGAACCAGAATGCCTAAGTAGCCATCAATCAAGCTGCCTCATCCACATAATCACAATATTTAAAAATGAAAAGGATTTTTCGAGATCCTTGAAAGATTATGCATCAGTGGTAAAAAGATCTTGCCATCTTTCAGTGCACTGATAAAAGAATGAAAATAGCCATTTTGTTTTTGTGCTTCACTTCTTCCCCCCCATTTCAGATAGTTACCCGCCCCTCCGTGACTTGCTTCTACGGTTTTCAGAGGCTTGGCTTAAACACCCAACCTTCTTCTAAGCTCACGCTCAGTCTCGCCTTCTTCCTCAATCATATTCTCGAGGCCGCGCACCTCCGCCTCCTGTGCCTGAGCGGCCGCAGCAGCCGCCTGCGCAATAAGGATAGCCTCACCGGCGGTCTTCTCGAGGTCCTGCTGCACGCCGCTGCTGATACCACCCTGACCAATAAGCGCAGGATCAACCATATCCATTTCGTTGTGCTGGTGGTGTGTGTATTCATTGGTGTCAAGATCCCCAGTAAGGGAGTTCATGGTGACGACCGGAGCAGGGTTGTGTAGAGGGTAAGTAGTATGATGCTCCTGATGAACATAGTCATAGCCGTTCTGTGGCTGTGGTGGAGTCTGGGTGGGCTGCATGGAGTGCGGTTGATAGCGTTCGGTCCGGATCTCAAGAGGGAGCTCGTTGAGATTAGACAGGAGGCGAGAGATGATCTCGTGCAGCGGGAGGCGACGATGGGGAAGATGGGCACGCATGGATTTGTATCCTCTCTCGAGGTCACGGGCACTCCACAAGGCAGATTGTTCGCCGATGTTGTCCCATGGGATGGATTTTTCCTCTTTAGCCTGTGATTCGCGGATTCTGGGGGTGTCAGTGGGGGTGTGTTATGGTAAAGGATAGAGTGGGAGAGCTTACTGTTCCAAGATCCAGACTTTGTCTCCGACTTTCATGTCCTCAACGTTGAGCTTGACTTTGCGCTTCTTCCACAGCGCACCTCGACTTTCACCAGTCGGAACTCCGGTGACTCTGGCACGCTGCTGCTTCATCTTGTTCCATTTATATCTGCACTGGATACGACTCCTCTTATTGCCCATCAGCTCGCTGACACTTGTCCAGTTAATCTCTTCCTCGCCTTCGACCTCGTCAGCCTCCAAGTCGACCTCCTCGGGCCTGATGTTATTTCCTTTATTGGCCCTGATAGTTGACAAGACAATCTTCAGGACTCTCCGGAGCTCCGATTCTTCATCGTCGGCCCATCGGTCTCTTCCACGGTCTTTACCACACTTGACGTAGTTCCTCCATCTGTCACGGCAGTCCTCGCCCATGCGGCCCATGGCATCACCAACATCCTTCCAGCTGCTTCCTTTCTCGGCGACAAGGCGAGCAAGCTCTTCGTCATCTTCGGCAGTCCATTTTGCTCGCTGCTGGAAGACATGGTAGGAGCGGCGAACGTGCTTGTAGATACTTGCCCTACTACGGTTGGGGAGAACGCCGCAGACGCTTTCCCAGAAGTCGTCCTTTTTACGATCATTGGACCAGACGCGTGAGCAGAGATCACCATGACTGAGTTTGTGAATCCCCATGTACTCTGAAAGGTGCTTGTCGATAGCATGACGTTCGTCGAGCGTGAAAGTACCTCCGTTTCCAGAAGCACCTGCGCCACCGGAGGTTCCGTCAACGGGAGTAGGGGCGGTGGTCGGCTTGCGGGCACGTGGTGGGCGTTTTGCAGCTACGGGAGTGGGAGGAAGGACACTATCGGCGGGGAGTCGACGTTTTCGCTTCGACTTGTCGCCTCCCATTTCGTCTGCATCGTCGTCTTGCCCTGCGGCAGCGTCGAGAGCACGAAGCGCGGGGTCGACTAGCTTATTAGGATCGTCTTCGGGGAGCCGTTTGCGTTTGTAACTTGCTGGGGCTTTGGCTTTATTGGCGTTACGAAGGGGAGATACCAAGGTTGCAAGATCAGCGTCAAACTCATTGCCGGTAAGCTCCTCACCCATCAGGACGTCCCCTAGATCTGGGATGTTGGACTGTGGAATGGGATTGTGCTTTGACATGTGAGCCGCGAGATGTTGGGAGATGATACGGTCAGAGTCTGGGATTTCATGAAGACTATGGTGCTGGAGGTCTGTGTATTGAAGGAGTGCGAGATCTTCGGCCTGGGAGTTAGGATTGGTGGTAGGATTTGTAAGAGTGGGAGGATTGGTAGGTGATGGTGGGGAGGGCTCTTCGATCTGCGGAGGGGCAACTGGGGCCGCAACAACAATTTCGTCCAAATCGGCAATTTCTTCTTCGGAAGGTTTTGTCTTGTTTGTTTTGCTAGTTTTCCGATTGCCGCGACGTTTTTTCTTTTTCGGTTCGTCCTGGCCGTCTCCGTCATCGGCGCCATCCACTTGTTCGACATTGTTAGGCGAATTTTCACCCTCCGGCGCCGTTACCACCACAGTGTCTCCGTCGGCGACCGAGTTGACTTCCTGAAGACCTTTGTTGAGAGCCAGCAGTGCCTGGGCAGATTCCTCCTCCTGACTAGTCTGACGATTTTTCTTTTTCCGTTTCGACTTTTCGCCGGAGGTTGTTGGGGCTGCTGTTGTTGTTGTCGTTGTGGTGGTGGTTGCCACTGTCACAACGTCCTCGATATCGTCATCTTCATTCTCCTTTCCATTTTTTTTCGACGTTTCCCCCTCTTTTATCTTCTTCTGTAGCAGCTGTTCTTGGTTTTCATTACTGGCATCCTCATCCACATCCTTTTCATCATCATCGACGCGTTCCTTATCCTTCTTGGACTTCTTCTTCTTGCGCCTCTTCACCTTCTGCACGTCGACGACTTCCTCTGCATTCTCACTCGGGGCATTTTCTTCGATAGACTCGGGGTCCTGGTTGACGAAATTGGCGTGGTCGTTATCGCCATCTCCAGGCTGCGATTGGGAATTGCCCATGGAGGGCATTTGTTGCTTCGGGCGGGTAACGAGAGGCAAGTCGATAGGGTAACTATTGTGAGTTTGTTGGAGAGGACTGAGGGTGAAGGAGGCCGGAGAGGGTAACTTCGAGGCGAGGAGGAGAGTTGAGGTGTGTGGTGAGAACTTTTCCGCCAAGGCCAAGGGTATGTGTGCCAAGAAGACGTGGTGGTGGAGGTGGTGGTGTTACTGGCGCCGTGTGCATGTGTGACAGACAAGTGATGGAACTAGAAGTGGTGCGTGACGTGACGACGTTGTCAACCGTACGTTCTAGGATTCAGTGTTTGAAGAATCATGAAACACCACGAAACGTTAACACCTGTGTGGGGTGCATTTCTAACGCACCATATATAGCTTTGATGGAGGCCTCATCCGACGTTATCCCTCAGACAACATTTAAATTGCTCTGTCCTCTCGAGCCACGGAGATTCGCAGGCAGGCCAGGACTGCATGCAGCGGCCTATCCACGGATAAGATTAATAATTTATATTTATGTACTGATCTGATGGTAGATTTCCCTGTACTACTGGTGGACCTACTACATAAGCTTCCGGATTCCTCAAACGGTGGCACAGAAAATTGGAAATATGAATACCTCGGAGGTGTAGTGAGCTTACATGGATTTCCTGCCACTTTCTAATACGTCTATCACACATCTACATTTATTCATGTGCTCAAATTTGAGCGGCGCGGTACATTATAATCATGCGGGACCAATGTTAAATATATTGTTTTCGAAACACTGGTTTAATTCCGTAGAAAGGCACACCTCCCCCCCCCCCCCGGGGCCCACGAATCCACTCTTCCTTGGTGTACATTTACCTACAACTCCTTAAGCTTGATTTATTTCTATGAAATGCTCCAAATAACGATACATACATGATGTACATACTATATCATAAAGTAAACCATCTCCATCACAAGCTGTATGTACAGACACAATACATAAATGTACTTACACTGCATTGAATTATAGAGCGAGCCATTTCACGAAAGAAATTACTTATAGACTATCTGTGAATCTCCATGCTTCTCTATGGATGTACGATTATTAAATACATAGTAGACCAGTGTATCCCCAGTGTATTACGGGTATGTAGAGTACGTACAAACCTCAAATCATCGAGCGGCATTCTAGTCCATCCAGGAATATACACATTCGGGGATAATCTTCAATAAATCATATCAAGAAAAAAGTAGTAACATAGTCGTAATGATCTACGTACCGGAGTCATAGTGCTATTTCCATACCAGCTGCAGATGTTGGTGCCACTCGTACAGGTTTCCTATATATTTGCCGTCCACCACCGAGAAATTATCCCGTGCTCTATATACAAAACTGCAGCGATACCAAGTTGAATGATAGATAATGTGCTTGAAATACATATATATAATATTTCTTACTCCCGAAGGACCCGCCCGTCATCCTGGAAATTTGAAGAATATTGGAAGACATTCATGGATTATCACTCGATCCAGCTAGAGGTGTTGATTTTTTTTGTTTTTTGTTTTTTGTTTTACTCATTAAAGAGGTGTTGTGATGTCAACAAGGCTTGAGGAAACAACGTGTAGGAATATATGTATTCTGGTCACAACAGGTTCTCAAAATCGCATCACATCCGCGCATAATTTACACATCAGAGCAAAAAGACCAATTCAAAAAACAGTCTTCTGAGACCAGCACTAGCAATTCTCATACTTTGGTATACGATGTTCACCAATGGGCTTATATTTCCTCATAAAGAATGCAATTGCAGGGTTATCATAGTTATATTATTAGTCCACTAAAAACAAGCGGATGTAGCGCCAAACAGAAACTACAAACGCCATCTCCTGCAAGTCCACATTACCTATTTACGATTTGATTGTAGCTTTTCTAACGGCCTTGATAAAAGTGTCAGTAGCTGAGTTGGAACGTTAAACCAAACCAGATAGATGTGGCTTACCCTTAGTATCGATATCGATATCGGCGGAACTGTTCGTGGAGCACACCTCTCCTACATCATACTTATGCATATGAGAAGGTAGGTCTGCGAATATCTTGTTAGTTTCTGGTTATCAAAGGAGTTTGATAATGTACAAACCGCGAACAAGTTTGCCGCAAGACGATCCCTCTTTGGCACAAGCGGCGTTCTCGGAAACGTCATCCATCTTGTGAGCTGCAGTAGGGGTCTTCTCCATCTTCTCATCATCCATCATCTTGGGATCCATCTTTTTGTGGTCCATCTTATGGTCCATCTTGTGATCCATCTTGTGATCCATCTTGTCGTCCATCTTGTCGTCCATCTTGTGATCCATCTTGTCGTCCATCTTCTTGTGGGAAGCTTTGTGGTCTGCCTTCTCGGCAGGTTTCTCCTCGATACCCATCTTCTTCTCGGCTTTGGTATCAGAGGCGCCATCCATCAATTTAGAATCAGCCGAAGATTTGTGCATGTGGGCATCCTTCTTCATTTCGACCTTCTTAGTAGCATCGTCAACGAGCTCAGAGTCGACTAATAATTTGTTAGTTTTAATAATAGCACTCAATTTGAGTTTGAGTTATATATACCTTTTTCATCGTTTGAAATAACGCCCTTGATAGCGTCAGAAGCTTCAACGTTTTTGCCAGCCTCTGAAGAAGATTTCTTCATAATGTCACAGGCCTCAACATTTTTCTCGGCGTCTGAAAAAACCTTCTTGATAGCGTCACCGGCTTCAACAGCCTTAGACTTACAGGCACCGCCCATATCAATGGCCCCCTCAGTGGCCGGTTTGATAAGACCATCGGTATTCCTCATAGTCTTAGTGATAATCTTCTGAGTAGAGCCCTCGGTATCCTTCGTAGACTTCATTGTAGCCTCACAATCTCCACAAATATTCTCGACGACAGCAGTGCAAGCTGAGGAGACTTTGGGGATGTAAGTCTTGGAAGAAGTCTCTTTGTCATCGTGGCCTGAAGCATGATTGTCAGCTTGGTATCTTAAACACAAGTAGGCGAAGGGATTTTAAAGAGAGGAAAGATTTGAAAATATGGACCTACCAGTCAAATTGCCAACAACAGAATGCATGGCATCCTTGGCCTTATCGAAGTATGAAGGAGGAGCATCGGAGTTGTTGGTTCCAGACATTATTGTTGTTGGATAGAGACTTTTGAGTACTAAAAAAAGTTGGAATGCGAAGAAAGTATGTGTAATGCTTGGTGTTGAGATTGAAGAGTTGAATGATGATGGAGATACGGAGGGGGGAAGGGGCTGTTTATATAGTCGAAGAACGGCTTTCAGTGACACCTTTTACGCCAATGCTGCAAATAAACGGGCCTTATAAATGAGACGCAAAACTGGCAAGATTCAGTGAAGACGCGTGTTCTATTGGGCTTTGAGCCGTTTATTCCAAGACTTTGCTTCGATTTCGCCGCCCAAGCAGTCTTCAATAGACTTTCGCCGCTCATATATAGCTACATGTACTTAGTAAGCTCAAGACACTCCCCAGGTTAAATCTGTCCTTCTGTGTACTTCAAGTGTATTTCTCATAACCCTGGGCGTCGTTTCGGTACTACATGTAGTTGATGGCATCGGAGTCTTCCATTCACGAGATTTCTGTCGGGGGCCAGGTGCTTGTGTAAGACACGTTTATGGTATAAACATGTGTGCATTTTAGGACATTAGAAACATCATATACACGAAGTTTCATTACGCAGCACGAAACATAGAGATTTTGTGGTATTTCTTGTCAAACATAAGAAACTGTGGGCCATTACAAACACAGGATATCACTCGTTCATGCCAAGACTCCCGATGGCGCTCAAAAATTCATATATGTAATCTTTGGAACCGTGTCATCCTTGACTACATGTAGATCTTCGTCTAGCATAGTTAAATACAGAAATTGCAGTAGAACCCTTCTATAATGACACCATCAAGAGCGATCGCCCATAAGGGTACTGGTTCTCCACCTATATTTTTTGTTTTTGCAGGGCTAGGAAACCACATACTCGGGTGAAGCAATAAGAACCAGAACATGCAAGTGAAGAGACAGGGATTATTTGTATGGAGTGGCGCCGCTCTTCCATACAAATAACCTCATTGCATGTTCTGGTTCTAACCCTCGTACCCGAGTACTGATTCCCTCTGGCTATTTGGTTATGTACTCGCCACATGAGGTAATATTTCGCTTTAACTGTATAGTTATAACGATTTCCTCTCGACTGGATTTCCTCTCGACTGGATTTCTCAAGATACATAGCTGCACAGCCTTTGCGGATGAGATGGTTGTCGCCGGTTAGTAATGCTCATAATGTGTCTCCAATACTAGTGGCCGGTGTACTACGTCCTAAATTCTGATGACAATATATCGATAGTAATCTCTGTTTCACAACATTCTGTAAGTCCCCGATATTAACAGTGTGTAAGTGTTCCTCCACAAGGGTAGACAAGTGGCCATAGGTGCTAATTATATTGGTCATTGGACATGAAAAGCCGTTGGGCCGTTTTTGGAACGTGGCAGATTTATCTGCACCTCAAATACAAATTGATGACTCCTATGTAAGCCCCAGTGTTGTAACAACGCAAGCTGATTGTTATTTCCACTCACACCAAAAAAAGCAATCTTGGATAAGTAACGACCCTGCCGTTTCAGAAACCGGAATATTGAAGAGTTGTCCTTCGATTTATCTCTGCACGGTACAACGTTGCCTCCGACTAGCGAGTTTCGAGTGACATAAGCTCCGGCCTTTCCGAATTGCTTGAGCTGACAGAGTGACAAGCTTTTTGGGAACCTGACTCTGTTACCTGAGTTCTACCTTCTAAACCTAACCCACAGCCGTTTTTCCGACTCAAAGTCTGGAGATGTCTCAGACGTTAACGACAAGCATTGCACTGCCACACTTATATGGCCATAACAGGTCTAGCGTCATGCAGCTGCATACCTTGTCCAACCCACTGGAGCCTCCCGGGGCGGAGTGGGTGTTCATCTAGGCCCTGGTTTCCAGCCTTCTTGGTAGAAGCCGCACGCAGAAATGCTAGACAAAAGGCCATAGATGCATGGACGTTGTAGTGTCAAGACTCAAGACAAGATATACCAAGCATTGGCTATAGATGTACGCGTAATCTAGCTTGGAGGGCCGGGATCATGATGTGCAGGCTCAGCTCAACTTCCTTAGACGAGAGCAATTAAGCGTGTCTACTCTATTTCAAGATAGAATAAACTGTTATGAGATAGATCGCGATGGCGCTTGGATATCTCGGGAGCCTGTGCAGAGACACAGTTAGTTCCGGGAGTGTACTCTTGAGGGATGATGAGACAGGTGTCGGAGAAGCTAGAACAGTGCTGGGAAACAATCGCCGAAGAAAGTTTGAATCGGGCGGGCTGGTTTTCGGGGAAGGGGGGAGGAAGGGGGGTGGAAGACAGAGGCCCTTGAAATGGTAAAACACTTGAACTATCGCTGGCAAGCTCTTCCACGTCATTCCTGGGTTGTCGAGCTGGTAGAGTAGAGTAACAAACAGTTCTGTGTAGGGACATACATGTATGTATGTACATGTAGGTAGTTTGCGCCATTACCGTGGACGATCATATTGGAGGCGTCTGCTACACATAGCCTGCAAAAAAAACATCTATACACGATCCAATCACATTGTGCGACCAGAGCACGAGCAGTTTTTTCCATCTGTGCTGGCGCGTGTCGATAGGGACCCTGTCAGCTCGTTCATAAGAATCGGAATCTTCTACATTATAAGTATATATCTCTCCCTAGATCTCATCTTCTTCCTTGTGCCTGGTTCCTTCGTGCCCATCTTGACAGCTCCTCCAGTCTCCTTCTCAAACCTTAGCACAACCAAACCTCTCAACCCAACCCCATCTACCTCAACTCTGAATGATGAAGAATCTCACATTTTCGCTCCTCCTCACAATAATCCTTCTGGCAATAACAGCCAGAGCCGGTCAAAACTTCGGAAGCGAGGTCTGCAAAACTACCTCGTGCTACGGGGTTATCCTCATCGCCGCAAGCTGTAATTACACACTCGACATAGCACAGGAAATCACTGCAACAGAAGCATACTGTACATGTCATAACAATAATTTTACTGCCTCAATCGAGCCGTATGTGTTCCTTTTCCCCTGCGCGCAAACGCCTTACTAAATCAGATCAAGATGTCTCGAATGTATGGAACCATACAACATCGCAATCTACAAAGAGAGCACCTGGGAGCGCCTTTGCCCTAATCTTCTCGAAGACGATGACGATGACAATGATAGCGACGACCAGGCAGCGCAAAGAAACGCTTCCCCGAGAAGTATTGATGGACACAAATTATCCACTACGGGGGCGCTTATTGTAGTAGCCGGAATGGTTTTTTCGGGGATGGCACTCTGAGAAGTGCGAATGCCGGCGCGGCACTCTTGACTTAATGATTGGCCCGGAGTTTTTTGCTTATCTATTTATTTTTTTGTTTTACTAGCGCGGCGGTGTCTTTTTACTCTTTTTCTTTACTACATTTACTTCGGCAGCGGCGCACAGGGATTGCAGTTACAGGGTCTCTTTTTTTTTATTCGGGGTCAATCGTTTTCACGAGCGATCTGTAGATATTACAGGCTTATGACTGACGCAGCCCAATTGTTTATTATTTCTTTTGTTTAGGAACGATTTTTGCATTGTAGCAGTACGATTAAACCTTGACGAAGAGCAGAATAGTACATGTATTCGCAGTTTATTAACTGCATAACTATTTATACACAAACTTGACTAGAAGTGCTTAAAGGTTACACAGATTGAAGGCAAATGTCCTAGAGATAAAATCAAATTCTGAAATGCCAACTTTCCCACACGTGTCATGACCTATGTGTACTTAAGTACATGTACGCATCTATCACAGCAGAGCCATAAATTAAAAAAAAAAAAAAAGCTTTCGATCCTTTAGGGCTTTATATCTCCCATGCACAGACTACGGCGACGTAACATGATATAGGCCGACAAAACAACACAGCACAATCTACATTACACCAATAAATTAATTCTGTGAATCCAAGGCGAGCAGACTTCGATGCTGCATTGGTATACATGGCCGGACAAAAGACTACCCACTGATAGGAGGACACCTAAACTCCCGGGCTCATACACTCACCAGTATCGATCACTCTGTTCTTGGTTTCCCTTTCTCTCGCCAGATCCATATTCCCCAGCTTTACTTGTACTGACTTTATGACTCTCAAAGCAGTCTACAAATATAGCCTGAGAGTCCGAGGGCAGGCTTCCCCACCTCATCAATTAAGCTTACCACACCAGTATAACTGATATACAATTAAATTTATAATTTACAGATCCCCCTGCAGCTGCCTGCGACACCCGAGTGATCCTTCATGCCCCATGCCAAGCGCTTAAGCCCCGCAGCAGCTCAGCGCGGATCCTTGGCATGCATGCAGCCGTAGATCGTGAGGAGTGAGGTGCTCACCACTACCGATGACAACATATATGTATCTTGCAACGTCTCTACTAGTAGATGGCCGTCAATGGGCCTCCCAGGCCTGCTTTCTGGCCGATTTCTTTCTCAGATATGGTTCTATCAAGATATTCAAGTGGATATTCAAGTGGATAGAGGAAGAGAGAACGAAGCTTGAGTTGGGTCATCTGATCATATCATTAAGCTATTACATCTAGATCTTGCTGGTAAGTTTCAACACGACCGCTCTCTAAGAACAAGGCTCTAACAAGTAGTAAAGCTCAGGCTCAAAACAACAAAAAAAAAAATTCATGGAAAAAATTGCAACCCAAACACACAAAACTCCCTTAAAGGATAACTCGGCCAGACAAAAAAAGAAAAGTATTACGATGCTCTCACATAGGAAAGCCCTAATTCGGGAACCGTCTCTTCTCCAACAATAATGTTCCAGAAGGCCCAGCCTTCTGGAAGCCTTGAGAGGCGGAATAGATCTTGTTTCCCCGGAGCCATGTTTCGACGACCTTGCCTTTGAGAGTCTTGTTCTCGTAGGGGGTGACTTTGTTTTTGAATTTCATGTCGTTGGTGGTAACCTATAGAAAAGTGTTAGTTGATTGTCGTCAGAAAATATTTAGGGGTAAAGGGCAACAAACAGTAAACTCTGCTTCGGGGTCAAAAATGCAGATATCCGCATCCCA